CACGGACAGACACAGGGACACACGGACACACGGACAGACAGACAGACAGACGGACAGACACACGGACAGACACACAGACACACGGACAGACACACGGACAGACGGACAGACACACGGACAGACACACGGACACACGGACGGACACACGGACACACGGACGGACACACGGACACACGGACGGACACACGGACAGACACAAGGACACACGGACAGACACACGGACACACGGACAGACACACGGACAGACACACGGACAGACACACGGACACATGGAGAGACACACGGACATACGGATAGATGGACACACGGACAGACACAGGGACACACGGACAGACGGACACACAGACAGACGGACAGACACACGGACACACGGAGAGACACACGGACAGACGGACAGACGGACACACACACGGACACACAGACAGACAGACACACGGACAGACACACGGACAGACACACGGACAGACAGACACAGAGAGAGAGAGAGAGGGGAAATGAGAGACAGACCGGGAAACGCCGGGCAGATGGAGCAAACTGGGAAAACTGGGGGGAACTGGGGGAAACGGATTAAAAACTGATGAAAAACTGGGGGGAAAAACTGGAGGAAAACTGATTAAAAACTGGGGAAAAAGTGACGAAAAACTGGGGAAAGACTGATGAAAAACTGATTAAAAAGTGGGGAAAAAACTGATTAAAAACTGGAAAAAAGTGATAAAAAACTGGGAAAAAACTGATGCAAAACTGGGAAAAAACTTGGAAAAAACTTGGAAAAAAACTGGGGAAAAACTGGGGAAAAATCTTATTAAAAACTGGGAAAAACTGGGAAAAAACTGGAGGAAAAACTGATGAAAAATTGGGGAAAAACTAGGAAAAAATTTTGGGAAAAATCTGATTAAAAACTGGGGCAAAACTGGGGAAAAACCGATTAAAAACTGGGAAAAAACTCCCCAAACTAATTTGGGGAAAGGGAGATTGGGGAAAGGAGGAAACAAGAAACAAAATGGGAAACACTGGACAGATCTGGAGTAAACTGGAAAAACTGGGAAAAAACTGATTAAACTGAATATGGAATAAAGGGGATTTAAGGAAAAGGTGAAATGAGATTTCTGGGGAAAGGAGGAAATAAAGAACGGGGAAACACTGGACAAATCTGGACTAAACGAGAAAAACTGTGGAAAAACTGATGAAAAACTGATGAAAAACTGATTAAAAACTGATTAAAAACTGGGGAAAAATGGGGAAAAACTGATTAAAAACTGGGGAAAAACTGATGAAAAACTGGGGAAAAAACTGGGGGAAAAACTGGGGGAAAACTGATGAAAAACTGATTAAAAATTCGGGGAAAAATGGGGAAAAACTGGAGGAAAACTGATGGAAAACTGGGGGGAAACTGATGAAAAACTGATTAAAAAGTGGGGAAAAAACTGATGAAAAACTGGGAAAAAAGTGATAAAAACTGGGGGAAAACTGATGAAAAATTGGGGAAAAACTCAGAAAAAATGGAGGAAAAACTGATGAAAATTTGGGGAAAAACTGATGAAAAACTGGCGGAAAACAGGGAAAAAATGGGAAAAAACTGATTAAAAACTGGGAAAAAAGTGATTAAAACTGGGGAAAAACTCCCCAAACTAATTTGGGGAAAGGGGGATTGGGGAAAGGAAGAAATGAGAAACAAAATGGGAAACACTGGACAGATGTGGAGTAAACTGGAAAAACTGGGGAAAAACTGATGAAAAACTGATTAAAAACTACAGAAAATCTGATTAAAAACTGGGGAAAAACTGGGGGAAAACTGATGAAAAACTGGGAAAAAACTGATGAAAAACTGGGAAAAAACTGGGAAAAAACTGGGAAAAAACTGGGAAAAAACTGGGAAAAAACTGGGAAAAAACTGGGAAAAAACTGGGAAAAAACTGGGAAAAAACTGGGAAAAAACTGGGAAAAAACTGGGAAAAAACTGGGAAAAAATCTGATTAAACTGAATATGGGAAAAGGGGATTTGGGGAAAAAGGGGATTTGGGAAATGAGATTTGTGGGGAAAAGGGAAAATGAGGAAAAAATTGGGAAAATGCTGGACAGATCTGGACTAAACTAGAAAAACTGGGAAAAATGGATAAAACTGGAAAAACTGGGAAAAACTGAGTAAATGAGACTTAACAGGATCAAACTGGAAGGGACAAAACTGGAAAAAAGTGGGAAAAAATTGGAAAAAATAAAAGGAAATAATGGAAAAAATGAAAAAAATGGGAAAATGGAAAAAAAGGAAAAATGGGAAAAAAAAGGAAAAAAGGAAGAAAAAATGAAAATGGAAAAAAAATTGAGAAGCTGGGAAAAATGGACATAACTGGAAAAAGCTGGACAAAACTTGAACCAAATGGATTAAACTGGAATAAAAGGGATAAAACTGGAAAAAACAGGACTAAACTGGAAAAAATGGAAAAAAATTTACAAAACTGGAAAGAAATGGAAAGAAATTGAGAAAACTGAGTAAAATGGAAAAAATGGATTTATTTGGATTAAACTGGAATAAATGGGATAAAAGTGGAAAAAAATGGAGAAACTGGGAAAAATGGACAAAGCTGGACTAAATTAGATAAACTGGGAAAAACTGGGAAAAAAAAATCAAAAAAACCCAGAAATAATGGAAAAACCTGGAAACAAATTTGAAAATAAATGGAAAAAAAAAAATTGGATAAAAATATGTGGAATTTAAGGTCCCTCCAACCCAAACCAGCTCAGAATTCCGTGGAATTTGAGACAAAATCCCATGAAAATGTCCTGAAGTTTTCTGATAAAAATGTGACCTCGTGGAGGGGGGTTGGAAAGGGCAAAGCAGGGAAATGAAAAGGTTAAAATTAATTATTAATTATGAGTAATTAAGGGAAGAAATGAAAAGCACGAGGTACCTGCTGGAGGAGTGAGCCTCAGGGTTCCACTCGGGATATCTGTCAGTGCCAAAGGGAAAAATGGAAAAATGTCACTGGAAAAGCCAAAATTCCCAAAAAAACAAAAAAAAAGGGATTTTTTTTTTTTTCCCCCCGGATAAATTTTCCCATCTGGGACCCCAAAAGCACCAAGTGTTGATTCCTGCTTGGGAATGTCCCTGGATGGGATTGGAGGTTCCTCCCACCCCAAAGCATTCCAGGATTTTGGAGCCCCTTTGGCTCTGGGAGAACTGGGAATGTTCACCTGGAAAAGGGGAAATTGCAGGGAAAACTCGGAGGGATTGCAGAGGGGAGCTGTGATTGTGGGATGGTTCAGGATTAGAGCCCATGGGGTGTCTGAAATCCCAAAGGTTTTTTGGGATTGGGGGGGGAGAATCCAGGGAAATGCTGGAATGTCCAAGGCCAGGCTGGACAGGGCTTGGATCCACCTGGGATAGGGAAAGGTGGGAATGGAGGGGATTTAGGGTCACTCCCAGCACAATTCCAGGATTCTGCCCTGGAGCCAGGCTGGGAGAGCTGGGAATGTTCCCCTGGAGAAGGGAAAATTCCAGGGAATGCTCAGAGCCCCTGGAGGGGCTCCAGGAGAGCTGGAGAGGGGCTGGGGACAAGGCCTGCAGGGACAGGAGCCAGGGAATGGCTCCCACTGGGAAAGGGGAGATTGGGCTGGGATCTTGGCAAGGAATTCCTGCCTGGGCTGGAATTCCCAGGGAATCCCAGGAATTCCCAACCCCTGGATCCCTGGCAGTGCCCAAGGCCAGGTTGGGATGGATTTGGATCCACCTGGGATGGTGGGAGGTGTCCCTGCCCATGGATGGGGTGGAATTGTTGGGATTTAAGGTCCCTCTCCAGCATTCCGTGATTCTCAGTGGATCCCAAATGGATCCTCAATGGATTCCCAGTGAGCTCCCAACTTATTCCCAGTGGATCTAAATAAAGATCCCCAATGGATTCCACAGTGGATTCCCAATGCGTCCCCAGTGAATTCCCAACTGATTCCCAGTAGATCCCAAAAAGATCCCCCGTGGGTCCCCAAATGGATTCCTCAATGGATTCCCAATGGATCCTGTATGGATTACACAGTGGATGCCTGGTGGATTCCCAATTGATCCCCAGTGGATTCCCAATTGATTCAAATTGATCCCCAAGTGGATCCCCAAGTGGATTCCCAATGGATCCCAAAGTGGATTCTCAGTGGGTCCCGAGTGAATTCCCAGTGGATCCCCAATGGGCTCCCAACAGATTCCTGGCAGATCCCCAGGGGATTCCCAATTGATCCCAAATGGATCCCCCAGTGCAATCCCTGGCAGATCCCAAATTGATTCCCAGTGCATTCCCAATGGAACCTCAGTGGATTCCAAATGGATCCCAAATTGATTCCCAATGGATCCCACATGGATCAAACAGTGCAATCCCAGTGGGTCCCCAACTGATTCCCAGTGGATCCCAAGTGATCCCAAATGGATTCCACAGTGGATTCCCCATGGATCCCTGGCAGATTCCAAAAGGATTCCCACGGGATCCCTGGCAATTCCCAATGGATTCCCGGCAGATCCCCCACTGGATCCCTGGCAATTCCCAATGGATTCCCAATGGATCCCCAGAGGATCCCTGGCAATTCCCAATGGATCCCTGGCAATTCCCAATGGATTCCCAATGGATCCCTGGCAATTCCCAATGGATCCCCGGCGTGTCCCTGGCAATTCCCAATGAATTCCCAGTGGATCCCCGGCAGATTCCCAATGGATCCCCAGCAGGTCCCTGGCAATTCCCAATGGATCCCCAGCAGATCCCCACTGGATCCCTGGTAATTCCCAATGGATTCCCAATGGATTCCGCATGGGTCCCTGGCAATTCCCAATGGATCCCCAGCAGATTCCCAATGGATCCCCAGCGTGCCCCTGGCAATTCCCAATGAATTCCCAATGGATTCCCAGTGGATCCCCAGCGTGTCCCCGGCATGTCCCTGGCAATTCCCAATGAATTCCCAGTGGATTCCCAGCAGATCCCCAGCAGATCCCCAGCGGATCCCCGGCGTGTCCCCGGCGTGTCCCTTACTGTTGGCGCAGCCTGCGGCAGCTCTCGAGGTGGTCGGGGTTGTTCTGGTGCAGGATCCAGTCCTGGGGAACAGAGAACATTGGGAACGGTGGGATCGGGGTGGAAACCCCTGGGATCACCCCAATCCCTCGGGGCTGGATTTCCACTCCCCAGCCCTTGGTTACCTGGGAAAAGCCAAATTCCCATGGAATTCAGGCAGGAGGCCAAAGGCCGATTATCACTGCTCCACAACAAAAGCCCCACTCAAACCGACTCCTCCAATCAACCAATTAATTAAATGATTAAATCAATTCGTTCAATCAGTTCATTAAATCAATTAATTCACTGGTTAACGAAGGGGATATGGCAGCAGCACCGTGGATCACCGGAGGCTGCTCCAAAAAAACAAAAATGGGAATTCAAGGGGAATAAATGCACGATTTGCTGTGGCACCCATGGGCAATTCCAGCTCCCCTCAACATGTGGCATCTCCACATCCAAGCTCATTCCCAGGCTGGAATTCCCGTGCCTGGAGCTCTGGGAATGCTCAGTTCCCATCACGTCACGGCTCAAAGGCCATCCCAGAGCCCCGGGGTGTTTTCCACGCTCGCTCATCGTTTAAAAAACCTGATCAAAGTGGGATTTAATTCCATGTAAAAATGCCCAAACTCTGGTTTAGCTGGGAATGTTGACAGGGAGCTGGGAATAAACAAAAAAAAGGAAGGCAGTTTTCTATGGAGAAGGGATATTCCTTGGAAAACTCTGGAATTCTTCAAGGTGGAACATCAGCAATGATAACAATGAAATATCCGTGGGGGAAAAAATCCAACTTCCAGCTGCTCTGAGATCGTAAAATCCAATCAAACACGGAATAATTAATATAAAATAATGGATCTGAGGAGTCAGGATGATGGAATGATTCCCATGGGGATAAAAAGCAGCGATTTCAGCATTCCAAGCTGGTTTTCCCTAATTCCAGACCGTCCCCTAAGCAATCCCATTCCCAAGGCTCTGGATTTTTCCAGGTTTGAATTTAACCAGGATAAACCAAAGCTGCTCCTCAAGGAAAACTTGGTGGGAATGAAAAGGGAATTTGACTCCCAAAATTCCAATTCCATGGTGCCAGAGGGAATTTGACTCCCGAAATTCCAATTCCATGGTGCCAGAGGGAATTTGACTCCCAGAATTCCAATTCCATGGTGCCAGAGGGAATTTCACTCCCGAAATTCCAATTCCATGGTGCCAGAGGGGATTTTACTCCCAGAATTCCAATTCCACGGTGCCAAGGAGGGGGTTTTGGTCCCAAATCCCTCCAGCTGCTGATCCAAGACTTTTGGGAATCTTCTTCTCCTTGCCAGGTCCTCACCAGCCAAAGCCCTCTGGATTTATGGATTTTCCTCCTTTTTGCCTCATTTCGAACTCTTCCACTCTTTGGGAATATTCCACTGTCCACAGAATCCAAAACCCTCTGGATTTATGGAATTTCCTCCTTTTTGCCTCATTCCTGGCCTTCCCCACTCTTCAGGAATATTCCACTGCCCATGGAACCATCCTGGAATGGCTGGGTTGGAAGGGAACCCAAAGGTGATCCCATGATCCCAGGTTGCTCCAAGCCCCATCCAACCTGGATTTGGACATTCCAGGGATGGAACAGCCAAGATTTCTCCTGGGATCCAACGAAATCCTTCCCCTAAAATTACAGGATCCCTTCCCATAATTCCTGGTGAGAAGAAAAAAATTCCATCTGAATGAACTCCTCCATTCCCACCTTCCCTAATTCCATCCCAACCTCCTCTCACCCATGGATCACACCCAGGAAATCCTGGAAGCAGAAGGTGGCGGAGTGAAGTGTCCAGTAAAAGAACTCTGGGTGCAAATCTTCATGGAAAACAGAAAATCCCAAGGATTTCGCAAATTCTGGGTCCGAGGAGGCGTCGCCCCCAACTTTGACAGGATGTGGGGAACAGAAGTGGATAAAGATAAGGATAAATCCCATCCCATTGTGCTGGGAACGTTTCAAATCCACTTCACTCCAGATGTGGTGGGACTGAGGATGAAGGAATTGTTATTCCAAGAGATCTGCTCCATCCGAGACGCCAAGTGTCCGGAGAAGGAGGAATCCCACAGATCTCCCTTTGTTATTCCCACGGGATGCGATTCTGAGCTGAAAACGAAGCTGCTCCACGGAATATCCCTAAAATCCTTCGAGATTTTTTGAGGATTTGGGAAATCAGAATTAAAAGGGACAGCAGGGGGGTCAGACTCCGCCCATCCCAAAGCAGAATTGGGAATTTTGCCCTAAAAAAAAAAACACCCAGGACACAAAGATTTTTAGGAACACCTGGCCCAAGCATCAAATGTTGCCTGAAATTCTGATTTTAACGCCCTAAAATCCAGCTTGGTGTGGCTGCTCCTCACAGAGGATCCCACAGGAATGTTCCCCAGGATCAGAGTCCAGCCTCTCACCATGGCCCTTCCTGCCCGACACCAACACGAGCCCAAATCTGTCAAATTCTGCTGCAGCCCCAAACCCACCTTCCGCGGACACCTCCACAGATTTCCACCACTTTTTCCCACAAATTCCCAATATTTCGGACCTGCCTGCTTCAAACGATGCATTTTCCATAAAAAAACTCTGGATGCAGGGGGGAAAGACTAAAACTTGTGGCTTCTAACAAAAAAAAAAAAACAAACCACCAAACAAACCACCTTAAAATGTATCAGAAATCTGAAAAAATGACATCCAGGATGTTTTGGTTTTTTGTTTTTCCCAGGGAAAGTTCAGCTCCCAGAGTTTTGGCACAGCCAAGTTGGAGGGACAATGTTGGGATGAACGTCCCACATCCAGGTGAGGTGGGAACCTCTGGGTTTCATATTCCAGGGGCTGGGATTCTCTTCCCATGGGCAACGCGGAGTGGTCGGATCCAGAACGAGTCAATCCAAGAGTTGATTAAAAAATCCATGGAAAAACCATGAAAAAACCGTGAAAAACTAATGGGAAAAGGGAGCTCAGCACCAACAGCCCGAGCTCAGAATCCATCACTAAAATTTTGGTTTTGGGGTCTTCAAATGTGGGATAGAAAAGGTTTCCCTCGTTGGGCACCTTCACCTTCATCCAGTGTCAGCTCTGTTATCCCAGAATCCTGGAATGGTTTGGGTGGGAAGGGACCTTAAATCCCATCCCATTCCCACTCCTGCCATGGGCAGGGACACCTTCCCCAATCCCAGGTGAACCCAAATCCATCCAGCCTGGCCTTGGGCACTGCCAGGGATCCAGGGGCAGCCCCAGCAAATCTGGGAATTCCAGCCCAGGCAGGAATTCCTTGCCAAGATCCCAGCCCAATCTCCCCTTTCCCAGTGGGAGCCATTCCCTGGCTCCTGTCCCTGCAGGCCTTGTCCCCAGCCCCTCTCCAGCTCTCCTGGAGCCCCTGCAGGCACTCTGAGCATTCCCTGGATTTTTCCCTTCTCCAGGGGAGCATTCCCAGCTCTCCCAGCCTGGCTCCAGAGCATCTCCATGGCCTCCTCTGGATCTGCTCCAGGTCCTGCTGGTGTTGCCCCAAAGCTGGAGGCAGCTCTGCAGGTGGGGTCTCACCTGGGCAGAATTCCCACCCTTCCTGCTGCCCGTGCTGTGGGATCAGCCCAGGGCACAGGGACCCGTCCAGGACATTTGGAGCTTCCCATCCCCAACACCCCAAGTCCTTCTCCCAGAGCTGCTCCAATCGTCCTCGTCCCATCTTGGATCTGTGCTGGGATTGTCCTGCCCCGGGAGCTCCTGCCCTTGCTGGGCCTCATGGGGTTGGGATGGCCCCACCTCTCCAAGGAAACCCCTCCGGGTGCAGAGCTCGGTGTCACCTTCACCATGCCGAGGGTGGCCGGTCCCGGTGTCCCTGTCACCGCTGGAGACGCTGGATGACGCCAATCCCAATGTCAGGGTGGCTGCTCCAAGTGCCACCATCCAGGCTTGGATGCTCCTCCATCCATGAAATCCATTGCTCCAGGCCAAGGACAGCCATGCCACCCGGGACAGCATCAAACGCCTCAGGTCCTGGGGAATCCTGGGAATCACCAGGTCTGGTGGCTCTCCCAAGCTGAGGCCCCATCCAGCTCTCCCAGGACAGCCAGGGAATGGTTGGGAAGACAAATCTTGAATGTCCAGGTCACCTCCAAGCACCCAAAACCAACCAGGTTTGCTGAACTGCAGAGCTGGAACTGAGAGGAATTCTTCGATCTCTGCAATCCATGGATACACCAGCTGCACATTTCTTCATTGAGGTTTTATTTTTTGGGATAAAACTCCCAAACTCTTGTGGTTCTTCTGCACCAGGGCTGGTCCTGGGAGGTCTCCTGAGCCCCTGGGAGACAAACACCAAACGCTTCCCGAAGGAAGGGGATCCAGGCCAGGGCTGAAGGACAGGGAGCACATTTGGGAGTGGGATCCTGCAGTAGGATCAGGATTCCTGGGAACACATGCCGTCCCAGGGCCACCAGGACGAGATCTCACCACCTTTAATCCCCCCCAAAACTCTCAGCCAGAGTTGATTGGCCAACAGATTTTTAGTGACAACATTTCCCTCCTTAAAGGCGCTAACAATTCCCATATAAATTCATTCCCTTTTCCCAAATTGCTTTTTCCCTTTGTTAACAGCCCCCCGCTTTCATTTTCCTGTTCAATTTTACCCATTTTTATTTAAATTCATCCTTCTCTCCCTATTTCCAGCTGCCCATCTCCCTGGCCCTCAGCGCCTCCTGTGGAAAAGGGTTTGGGAATTTCTGGTTTTTTTCCTAACAAAGCCATCCCCATTTTCAGCCAGATTTTTAATTCACAGCAAACAGAGCCTAAAATCTCCAGGATTTTGCCAAATTACAAAAATCCCTCCCCCGCAGCCTCTCCACACTTTGCAATTCAAACACGTTAAACAACTATTAATGAATTATTCTGGGTTTTTATATCACCTTCTCCAATATTTTTGATGGATCAAACCTTGGGCTTTTCCAGGAAAACCCACAGCTTCCAAAACATTTTTTATCTCCCAGTATCCACCATTTTCTCCCTTTATTTTTTCCTTCAAAGCCCAAACTGTGATTTCCTCCAAGGCTGAGAGCCCGGTGGGATGAAGGGACGCATTTTTCGCGTCGCCCCCAGCCAGCCTCTGGAATATCCAGCGTTGTCGCACAGAGCGGATTTGGAAGATGAAATTTCGGGTTCTAAATGGGCTCTTTTGTTTTCAGGCAGAGTTTGGAGGAGGAGGAGGAGGAGGGGGGGAATGAACACATGGACATCTCACCCACCCCCAGACACGATCTGAGTCCCCCCACACAACATTAATATTTCACTCCGCTGCTCGAGGTTTGTTTTGTTGTTTGACACCCGCTGCAAAGTCAAAAAACATTTCAATACTGGAAAAAAAAAATAATAATCAACACGTAAAGCAAGTCTGAAATGCAACTGGGAGCAGAACACGCCGTTACAATCATTTCTAGCACCATTCCCAACACTCAAACTTGGCGACCAGCATCCCAATCCACGGAATTCCCAGGGAAAAGGTGCCGAGTACACACGCTTAGGGAATAATCTGGGAAAGCCACTCACCTTCATATGAGTGCATTCAAGGTTACACAGAGAACACAAATGTGGGAATATTCGCGGCGACGTGGCATAGTAGTCGTTCATCATGGACGGGGTGGGCAGGCGTTTGCTCTTCTGCTCCGGGAACACGGGCAGCCAGGACGCCTTCACCACCCCGAACGGGGATTTGATGGGCTCCTGTGCCGGCGCGTGGAAGGGTTTGTGGTAGGGCTTGTGTCCCGCCGAGGCCCCGCCGGCGGCGCTGGGCCCGGGATGGGCGCTGGGCCCGGGATGGGCGCTGGGCCCGGGATGGGCGCTGCCGGCGTCGCGCTGCTTCTGCTCGTGCTGGCTGATGGCGGCCAGGAGCCCGGCCGAGAAGGGCGGCGGCGTCAAGGGCGGCAACACGTGCTGGGACACGGGCGGCTGGACCAGCGGCGGCATCACCGGGGGCAGCATGGGCTGCGGCAGCGGCGTGGGCAGCAGCGCCGGCAGGATGGGCGGCAGCACCGGCGGCATGGGCGGCTGGGACGCCGGCTTCACCACCGGCAGCGCGGCGGGCGCGGCGCTGCACAGCACCGGCACCTTGGCCGGCGGCTCGGCCGGGAAAAACGACGGAGCGGGCGAGGAGTCGGCGGGGAAGGCCGGCAGCTTGATGAGGTCTTCGGCCGGGAACACGGGGTTGCACGGCACGTTGGGCGGCGGGACGGCCACCGGCACGCTCTGCTCCCGCTGGAATTCTTCCCGGCTCTCCGCGCTCGAGCTTTCGGGATTGAAGACGCGCGCTTCCAGCGGTTCCTCGGGCAGCGCCTCGGGGTTGTAGGTGCGGATCTCCAGCGGGTCCTCGGTGTAGCCGTACTTGCTGGCGTGGCCGTAGTCGATCACTTTGCTCTTGACGGCGGTGCCGCTGCTCTCGCCCACCGGCTCTTCCCCCCGGCTCGGAGCGTGCAGGCCGGGCACGGCGTGGCCCATCTTCCGGATGCGGATCTCCCGCAGGATCCGCGGCATGTTCTCGGGTGTCAGCTGGTCGTCGGGGTAGCGGCTCAGCTCCTCCAGGTCTTCGTTGGACAGCCCGAAGCTCGCTAAAATGCTGGAGGCGCTTTCGGGCGTGTAGCGGTTCTGAGGGTTGGAGTTGTGCTCCAGGACCGGCGCCGGGCCGGGCGGCTTCGGCCCGGCGGTGCCGGCGGGGCAGGGGCCGCCATCCCAGCGAGTGGCACGCGGGTCTCCCTTCTGCTCCTGGTGCAGGCCGCTCTTCTCCTTGACTTTCCTGGGATCGGCCCTGTGCAGCGTGACGCGGACGTTGATCCTCTGCGAACCCGTCCACTCCTGCCCCGAGAATCTCTGGGGCGCTCCTTGGGGCGTCGCGGGCGCGGCTTTCCTGGGCGGCCCCGCCGCGCCTCCGGCCCTGAAAGCTGCCGGGGGTTTGGTGCCCGCCGGGTTGGGTCCTCTGGGCCTCGGGGGCAAGGTTCCTCTGGGGCTAAACATTGCGTCTTTCAGCAATGCCTGGCGGACGCCAGCGTGGGGAGGCGCCCGCCCGCCGCCGGCAGCCAAGCGCTGGAGAGCCAAGTGGGTCTTAATTTGGGCAAGCTGAAAAGGAGGAGGGCCCAACACAAGGGGGCTGGCAAGGCCAAGGTTCAGGGAATTCACAAGTGGAGCGAAACTTTCCAAGAACAACACAAAGCTGCAAGTTAAAAGACAAGGATTAGATGGGTCATCTTTGGCATCTGCTCACAGCGGCTTCTAGGACGGGGAGAAAAGCAACCCGAGGCACGGAAGCGGGATTTGCACCACAGTTTAAAGCACTCATAATTCACAAAAAAAAACGTTTTCTTTCACTGTTTAAAATCTTAAATATAGAGAACAGGTGATTAATCAATCAAACAGCTGATTAACAAGCTTAACCCAACGAACTGGATGCCACAGGGAACACAACCGGTGGTGACACTTGCAACAGCATTGCTTAAAACCTGCCATTTCACTTCTTTGTGACAACAGAGTTTGGATTTAATTACAATTAATAATTTTAGGAGCAGCAAGGCAAAGCGTGAAGCCCCCCTGTCGGAAGGGTGACGAGGGATGAGCTGGAAGTGGAACCGTTTAGGTGGAGCACTCCCAGCAGTTCCAGCTGGGTGGAGCGGAGCCGAGGCCGGAGCGGTTTCCAGGAGGACACTCCCATGAGCGCTCCCATGGGTGAAGAGCAAACCCTGCAAGAATTCGCAGGGTGGGACGAGGCTGGAATTCTGTGGGTAGAAAGTATCCAATCTCTCCGAGAGCTTAAATAGAAAGGGTTGGAAACAGAGAGGAGTAAAATCGTACAGGAACAGCGACAAAAAATCTCCACACAAAAAGCACCGTGGTCAATGGAAGTGGGGCTTGGTTTGGGTGAAATCACTGAGAATTTGGTGCTGTGTGGTGGGAAAAGAAGGTACAAATACAGGGAGAGGAAAACGAAACAGCACAGAGTTCTGGAGAGAGAATCACACAGGGCTTTGGGCTGGAAGGGACCCTAAAGCCCATCCCATTCCATCTCCTGCCATTCCCATTCCCACACCTCCCGTTATCCCAGAGCGCTCCAAGCCCCGTCCAAGCAGGTCAGGGATGGAGACCGAGATCAGTGCAACATCAAAGAGCGGCCAAGTCCCCGTGCAGCTCCTCGGAGACCGAGCGAGGACACCGGGAATTCTGGATTTAGGGCGAGGACAAAGCAGCGGCCACAACATCAGCGCGTTCCCAGCTCCATCCCCGTTCCCAACCCCGAACACGGCACCGCCGGAGCAGCAGCTGCAAAACTCCCAACCCTGTCCCAGCCCAAACCAGGAAAACTGCAAACCCGGGAATTCCTCATTTCCCCCTTGTCCATCTGTTGTCTCCTGGAGCTGGACTCTTCTCGCAGGTTTTCCAGGAGTTTTCCCAGCCGTTCCCGGAGCTCCGCGCTGAGTTCCCGCGGTGCCGAGGCTCTCGTCTCGCCGATGCCGTCACGGGGTTTTGTTTTCCAAGCTCGTGGAAGTCGACTCCAGCTGGAAGTTTTTCCACGAGCAGTGGTTCACACTGAGATCAAAGCTCAAGGAATAAACCTCACAGGGAATGACCAAACCTGACAGGTGCAGGAGAGGAGGATTTTCCAGCACAATTCCCGGAGTTTGCTCCCATCTGGGTGTGAATTTTTTTGAGGAATTATTTAATTTGAACCGAGTACAAACTGTTCAGGCTCAGGAGAAACATGAATCCTATTAATCCTCTTCAAGAAAACAATAACCAGATTCCCACCAGACAGCATTCCCAAAATTCTGGCCTCTCACCCAATATTCCTCCTCCCTCCATAAATTAAACCAGATTTTTCAACAGGAGCTGCATGCGAAGCCAAGTTTGTTCCAGAGGGTTTCCAAACAAATGTCAACCAACATTCCCCGAGCCACTTCCTGCCTTTCTGTTTGCGTTTTCTCCAGAATTCCCAGCACTGGAGGACAAAAATTCCCTCTGAGCCCATCCCTGTGGGAAGCACTTGGAGAAGGAACACTGTCAAAGCCACCCATCAGCAGGACAACCTCAAACGGATCAGCAGAGCAAATCTGGAACACCACCAACCTTAATTCCACGGACCAGGAACCCCCCAAAGGAGAGGAAAAAAAACCAGAACTCCCACAGGATGAGTTTTTACCTCTCCAGGTATTTCCAGGTGCTGCATCTCACACGGACAGCTGGGAGCAGGATCGGGGATACCAACTCACCTGTGCAAACCTCAGGGATGGGATCCAGGCTGGGAAAGACTTGGAGCAGCCTGGTCTATGGAAAATGTCCCCATCCATGGCAGGGGGTGGCACTGGATGGGATCTGAGGTCCCTTCCCACCCAAACCAGTCTGGGATTCTAGGAAGGGCTGCGGACAAGGAGCTCCCGAGTGACCTTTCCAAAGGAAATGCTGGAAATGCTCCAAAGGAAATGCCAAGATGGAGGAAACAATGGTCTGGAGATATCAGGGAGAGCCTCACCTTCCTCCTCCAGGCAGCTTTGCCTGGGAAGCGTCAGAGCCTCGGAGGCGCCGCTGCTGGGACAGGGACACCACAGTAGGGACCGGGCTCCGAGCTGGGGCTGCCACAGTGACACCGAATGGAAATCATGGAATGGTTTGGGTGGGAAAAGAGCTTAAATCCCATCCAATCCCGCCCCCAGATCAGGGACACCTCCCACCGTCCCAGGTGGCTCCAAGCCCCAATGTCCAACCTGGCCTTAGGCACTGCCAGGGATCCAGGGGCAGCCCCAGCAAATCTGGGAATTCCAGCCCAGCCAGGAATTCCTTGCCAAGATCCCAGCCCAATCTCCACTTTTCCTATCTGGAGCCATTCCCTGCATCCCATCCCTCCATCCCTCATGTCCCAAGTCCCACTCCCGCTCTCCTTCAGGCTCTGAGGTCCCCCTGGAGCTCTCCCTTCTCCAGGAGAACATTCCCAGCTGATCCCTGGGAAGGGCAATCCCAGAACTTCGGAGCACAACACAAAAGCCGAACGACGCCTTCCTTGCTTTCCCCTTCAACTTCCTGCCTCCATTTTCCAGCCTTCCCAATACGGATGGAGAAATGGAAAGTTCTGGATTTTAAACTCTCCCTGGTGTTTGCAGAGCCTGAATGAGAGCACAGAGCAAGAATTCCTGCATGGAGGAAAAGGACAAGGAACCTGTACCAGCACAGAATCCTGGGATTATCCCGGCTGGAAACACCTTTGGGATCATCCAGTCCAAGCTGTGCCCAATGCCCGCCTTGGCACTGGGTGCCACATCCAGGAATTCCTTGGACACCTCCAGGGATGGGGACTCCAAACCTCCCTGGGCCCTTCCAAGGCCTGAGCACCCTTTCCATGGGGAAATTCCTGCTGGTGCCCAACCTGAGCCTCCCCTGGCACAGCCTGAGGCCGTTCCCTCTTATCCTGTTATTCCCTGGGATCAGATCCCAACTCCCCCTTCCCTGTCAGGGATTTGTGGAGACCCTCAAGGTCCTTGTGAAGCCTCCCTTTTTCCAGGAGCCTCAGGAGAAGGCAGAAGGGGATTCCTCCCGTTACACAGAAGGCTCATCCAAAAGGAAATTCCAAAAGGACAATTTCCTGATCTGTCCCTATAAATAGCATGGAATTTTCTGGCTCTGTGCTAACTCCAGAGCAGATAAACAAAGCTGGAACCAAAGCCATGCCTGGGAAGCTGCTGGGCCTTTCCAAGAGTTCTTCCAGACCTGACCATGGATCTCACCGTGTCCAGTCCCAAGACCTGGATCTCCTTTGGAGATTCCCTGCTCTTCCTTTGCTTGATGGCAAGATCTTGGAATGTTCTGGAAGAACCTGGATTTTCCTCCTCCTTCCTGTGCTGCCCAACAGCACGATGGCATCCAGAGGGTGCCATGGTCCTTCCCTCTGGAGAATTCCTCACCCACAGCAGCCCAGATGTTCTCTCATCAAGGTCAGGACTTGGGCAAGGCATTCCCAGCCCTTTTCCTGCATCTGGGAATTCTTTCCCGTGATTTTGGATGGCTCTGGGCAGTTCACCACCCTCTGGATCTCTGGGATTGTCATCTCCAGACCTTCCCTTGCCAGTACAACCCCACTGGGACGTCCCAGTTCCAGCAGGAGCTCCTGGATTTTCCAGGTTATCTGGGGTGTCCATCCTTATTATCCCTCCATCCTGGGATCTTCCAGGTGCCAAACCACCACACAGCTCCTCCCAAATCCAGCAGAGCATGACAGATCCAGGTGGGCTGCCATTCCAGGTTCTCCCATTCCTGGTGGGTTGGCATTCCAGGTTCTCCCATTCCTGGTGGGTTGGCATTCCAGGTTCTCCCATTCCTGGTGGGCTGCCATTCCAGATGGGCTCCCACTCCAGGTGGGTTGGCATTCCAGGTTCTCCCATTCATGGTGGGTTGGCATTCCAGGTTCTCCCATTCCAGGTTCTCCCATTCCAGGTTCTCCCATTCCAGGTGGGCTCCCGTTCATGGTGGGCTCCCGTTCCAGGTTCTCCCATTCCTGGTGAGCTGCCATTCCAGGTTCTCCCATTCCAGGTTCTCCCATTCATGGTGGGCTGCCATTCCAGGTTCTCTCATTCCTGGTGAGCTGCCATTCCAGGTTCTCCCATTCATGGTGGGCTGCCATTCCAGGTTCTCCCATTCCAGGTTCTCCCATTCATGGTGGGTTGCCATTCCAGGTTCTCCCATTCCAGGTTCTGCCATTCCTGGTGGGCTGCCACGCCAGGTTCTCCCATTCCAGGTTCTCCCATTCATGGTGGGTTGGCATTCCAGGTTCTCCCATTCCAGGTTCTCCCATTCATGGTGGGCTGCCATTCCAGGTTCTCCCATTCCAGGTTCTCCCATTCCTGGTGGGTTGGCATTCCAGGTTCTCCCATTCCTGGTGGGTTGGCATTCCAGGTTCTCCCATTCCTGGTGGGCTGCCATTCCAGATGGGCTCCCACTCCAGGTGGGTTGGCATTCCAGGTTCTCCCATTCATGGTGGGTTGGCATTCCAGGTTCTCCCATTCCAGGTTCTCCCATTCCAGGTTCTCCCATTCCAGGTGGGCTCCCGTTCATGGTGGGCTCCCGTTCCAGGTTCTCCCATTCCTGGTGAGCTGCCATTCCAGGTTCTCCCATTCCAGGTTCTCCCATTCATGGTGGGCTGCCATTCCAGGTTCTCTCATTCCTGGTGAGCTGCCATTCCAGGTTCTCCCATTCATGGTGGGCTGCCATTCCAGGTTCTCCCATTCCAGGTTCTCCCATTCATGGTGGGTTGCCATTCCAGGTTCTCCCATTCCAGGTTCTGCCATTCCTGGTGGGCTGCCACGCCAGGTTCTCCCATTCCAGGTTCTCCCATTCATGGTGGGTTGGCATTCCAGGTTCTCCCATTCCAGGTTCTCCCATTCATGGTGGGCTGCCATTCCAGGTTCTCCCATTCCAGGTTCTCCCATTCATGGTGGGTTGGCATTCCAGGTTCTCCCATTCCAGGTTCTGCCATTCATGGTGGGTTGGCATTCCAGGTTCTCCCATTCCAGGTTCTGCCATTCATGGTGGGCTGCCATTCCAGGTTCTCCCACTCCAGGTTCTCCCATTCCTGGTGGGCTGCCATTCCAGGTTCTCCCATTCCAACAGGGCCACCTGCCTGCTCAAGCAAGAATTCCCAGTATTTGAGAGGTGAAAGCAGCTCCAGGCAAAACCCTCCCTGGGGATATTCCAGTTACCAGCTCTGGATCCAGCAGATCTCAGCTGGAATCAGTGGATTTGGAATTCCAAGAGCCAGGAACACTGGGAATGTTCCAGCCACACCAGGACACACAAGGGATTGGGATGTGTCCTGGAGGATGAGGAGGAAGAGGAAGGCAGAATGGGAATGGTCCTGAAGCACCTGGATAATGGGAAGAGGACAAATCCCAGCCTGGAAATTTGGATTTCCCAGGAAAAAGGGAACAGCAAAGGCTGAGCTGGAATTGTAAAGCCTGAAGGAAGCAGATCCTAAAAAAGGACCGGGATGGGGAAGGAAGCACTTGAACAAGAAAATTCCTGGCATGAGATAAAACCACGTGGAAAAAGGGACCCAAACCCCAAGCAAAGTTATTCCTCCCACTCTGTGCCATCCTGGGAACCGAAGTCCCATTTTCCCACTCCTCTCTCCCAGTTTTCCTATGGAAAAGGCCATTTTGCAGGTATGGAATATCCCTCCAGCCGCTCCAGGCCCGTTCCCAGCCCAGGGAAAGGCAAACTCAGCTCCCAAATCCCAAACAAAACTCCCAGCAAGAGTCCATTCCATCCCAAGCTGAACATCAACACCAGCCCTACTGGAATCTATTGGAGTATTCCCAAAATTCTGCCCCATCCCAGCCTTTGGGGCAGGAGGTTTCTACCCAAGAAAAAAAAAAATAAACCAGGACAAGCCTTTCAACCAAGAATTCCAGAAACAGGACCAAAACTGGGCATTTTAACACCAGGAACCTCCCTCAAATTCCACTTTCAGAGCAGCACAAAGTTTAATAAATCAACTTAAACACCAGCAACAGGTCCCTGACACCATCACTGACATTCCTGCCTAAAATTCCCAAAAAAAGCCCAAGTTCCACGCAGAATATTTAACTGATGGCAAGGAGGTAGGAAAATAGGTTTTATTTACCTTCAGGAGTGGAAGATAAAGGGGAAATACCCAGATGAGCTCCTTGTCTGGCAGCAAAATCAACTCAAATCCCAAATTGGGGAAGGAAAAGAGGGAAGAGAAGGAATCCAGGTTTTGGAAGCCTTTGGCAAACCCCACCCTTGGATAAACATCCCAAATTTCAGCAGAAATTGGGGAAGAGGCTGGGCTGGTCCCTTCCATCCCCACACCCCAGGGGCAGATTTAAATGGGGAAAAAGAAATGAAAAATGAAATTCAGGATACTCCTTCTCCTTGGGGAATGCCTTATCCCAAAGAAAATCATGAGCTCATGTCAGATCCACCCTCTCTGATCCTCCCAGCAGCCAATTGAAGGTTTTAGATGTCCAGGGAAGGATCCCACAGCAGAGAAAGGAGCAAAAAAACCCAAACCAACAACACTTAAACATCAATTCTGGGCTGGAATGAGATTTTTTTGGGGGGTTGGTTTGGATTCTGAGTCAAAAAACCTATCAAGTTTTATGTAAATAATCTCAGAAATTACCCTATAAAAGGAGATTTTAAAAAAAATTAATTAAAAGAGCAACCCGCACTACATTTCTGATTTAAAATAACACTAAAACTATCCAAGGAGCCTGTGCCTAAATCGTATTTTAGAAAATGTTAATTCCCCGAAAGAGGAAGTTCCTGCAAACCACGTGATGCTACTGAGCTACAACACTTGGCCTTCCGTAAAAATCGTTTTTCTTCGGGTATTTTACCCAATTTTGCTCAATTATTCCTGTTTTAAAGCAGAAAAAAGAGAAAATCCGCGTTTTTAACCCCAAACCACGAGGAAGTGCCTGAGGTCACGTCCAGGTCCTGAGGTGCAAACTCAACCTAAAGCTGGTGTTGCTCTATTTAGGGTCAATTTTAACCCAAAACCACAACTCCCAGCATCCATATCCCATTGTTTTAACGTAAAAATGCTGAATTTAAGGATTGAAAAGCCTGAGTATGGATGAAATTAAGACTTTGAGTGTTGTTTGACGTGCAGGGGAATGGAGGATCAGGGCAGCGTTTCCCTCGCTTCAAACCGCGTAAACCCGAGACTGAAATGTCTAAAAACCAGATTTAAATCCGTGCTGGGTACAAAATGTAGCGAATCCCTTGCGGGGTTGCGGCTGCGCTGCAGGTCGGTGGCTACACGGCGGCTTTATCCGCGTGCCGGAAGAAAAAGGATAAAAGATTAACGACAAAGAGGCTTCAAAAATAAAGGAATGAAGGAGAAGAGATAAAAAAAATAAACAATAAACACGCACAGCCCGAAGCTCCTCATGAGGGCCCCTCAGCCGCCCCCCCCCCCCCCCCACAGCCGCCATTACGCGCGTCCCCCTCAGCCCTCACCGCTGGGGGGGGGGGGGGGGGGGGGCGGCCGCCGCTCGCCTCCTACCTCCGCCGGCGCGCAGCCGCCGCTCTCCCCGCGTCCCCCGCCGCCGGGACGAGCCGGGAAGAAGCCCCTAAAAGTGGGGGGAAGTCCCTAAAAGCGGGAGGAAGCCCCGAAAAGCGGCGGGGAGAGCCCCGGGGGCGGCGGGCGGAGGGACATGGCGCGCCGGGCGCTCTGCGCGTGCGCGGAGGCAGCGCGGGCTTCGCGGGGGGGGGGGGGGAGGTGAGGAGTGGGGGGGGAGCCGCGCATGCGCGCCGTGTGCAAAGGGGAGCCGGGCCCCGCCGCGGGGCATGCTGGGAGAAGCCCTCCTATAAAAGGACGGCGGCGGCGCGCGTCGCCTCAAAGCGGCGCTGGCGTCCGAAGCTTTTGGTGCTTGGTTTTTGCTGCGTTATTGCCACTTTTGGCGCTTCTGCGGGTATTTTTGTAATTCCCGCAGCGTATTCTGCCCTCTTTGTGGTCCCCTCGTTGTTTTGCTGTGTGTAGCACAGCCCTTCCCGCCTTGCTGCCGAGCCCGGCTCCGTCTGTGAGGGAGCGGGAGCTGGTCCATTCCCATGCTCGTCAATTAACACTCAGAGCCTTCATTTCATCCTTACTCTGCCTTTAAATCCATACATTCAGCGCTTTTACCTTAAAACAATGGGATCTAGCGGTTGGGAATTGTTGGTTTGGGTTATAATTAGCCCTAAATAGAGCAATACCAGCCTCAGGTTGGGTTTGCACCTCAGCCTCCCTCAGCAGCAGCATCAGGGATGCTCCTCCAGCCACGTGGGTTTGTTCCAAATTTTTCTTCTTTTCACGCTTTATCTGCGTGCCGGAAGAAAAAGGATAAAAGATTAACGACAAAGAGGCTTTTAAAATAAAGGAATTCCATGGATTTGGGGCTGTTTTGCCAATTCCAGCCTGAGGATCCTTCCTGATGAAAAGGATTTGGGGAGGGAAAATCCGTGGTGAACCCAAAGCAGCTTTTGGGGTTGAGCCCCAAATTGCTTTTGGTCACTTCAAATTCAATAAATTAAGGAAATTAAGGAATTGAAATTAAAGAATTGAAGGAATGATGGAAAAATATTGAAATTAATGGATGGGCACAAGGAATTCTGCTCTTTCAGGGGTTTTGAGAAATCCCAAATTGCTTTTACTCATCCTGGATGTGCTGGTGGGTCAAAAATAAATCCCCAAAAAATCAAAATCTGGAAATGTGAGCAAATCCCCAAAATTGATGAACCCTAAATCCTCCATCCCACAAAGATTTGGGGGCTGAGGAGGAGAATTTTGGGATGCAGCCAGAAATGAGGGGATTTTGGGGATTTGGAGCAGCAGGAAAACCTGATGGAGCTGGGACAGGCCAAAAGGGGATTTGTGGGGTGGGAATTGGGATTTGGGGACAGGAACTGCAGGGACTTGGGGAATTCTCCTGGAAAAGCCTTTCCAGCCCTGGGATTTTGGGAATTCTCCTCCTGGAAAAGCTCTTCCAGCCCTGGGATTTTGGGAATTCTCCTCCTGGAAAAGCCTTTCAGCCCTGGGATTTGGGGAATTCTCCTCCTGGAAAAGCTCTTCCAGCCCTGCCACCGCTGCCCGCGCCAGGGCGGGGTCCCCGTCCCATGGCGGGGGCTGGTGGCACTTGGGGACATGCGGTGGCCTCGGGGTAATGGTGGCGCTGGAGGCTGCGGGCAGCTGCTGGCCCCAATTAACTCATTAACTCATCAAGTCATTAACTCATTAAGGCATTAAGTCATTAACTCAGGTGGCTCCGGGCCAGCGCCGGGGGTCGCTGAGCTCTCAGCGCTGTCCCCAAGGTGTGACAGCAGATGGGGCCACCAGCCCCGCGGGGACCGCGCTGCGCGACAGCGGCGCCGGGGCGGGGACAGAGCGGGGACAGCTCTGGGGACAGGGACAGAGACAGGGACAGGGACAGCCAGCCCTGTGTCACTGCTGGGGACAGGGACAGGAACAGCCAGCCCCGTGTCACTGTTTGGGGACAGGGACAGGGACAGCCAGCCCCGTGTCACTGTTGGGGACAGGGACAGGGACAGCCAGCCCCGTGTCACTGTTGGGGACAGGGACAGGGACAGCCAGCCCTGTGTCACTATTGGGGACAGGAACAGCCAGCCCCGTGTCACTGCTGGGGACAGGGACAGCCAGCCCCATGTCACTGTTGGGGACAGGGACAGGAACAGCCAGCCCTGTGTCACTGTTGGGGACAGGGACAGGGACAGCCAGCCCTGTGTCACTGTTTGGGGACAGGGACAGCCAGCCCCGTGTCACTGCTGGGGACAGGGACAGGGACAGGGACAGCCAGCCCCGTGTCACTGCTAGGGACAGGGACAGGAACAGCCAGCTCTGTGTCACTGCAGGGGACAGGGACAGGGACAGCCAGCCCTGTGTCACTGTTTGGGGACAGGGACAGCCAGCCCCGTGTCACTGTTTGGGGACAGGGACAGCCAGCCCTGTGTCACTGCTAGGGACAGGGACAGGGACAGCCAGCCCTGTGTCACTGTTTGGGGACAGGGACAGAGACAGGGACAGGGACAGCCAGCCCTGTGTCACTGTTTGGGGACAGGGACAGGGACAGCCAGCCCTGTGTCACTGCTGGGGACAGGGACAGCCAGCCCTGTGTCACTGCTGGGGACAGGGACAGGGACAGCCAGCCCTGTGTCACTGTTTGGGGACAGGGACAGGGACAGCCAGCCCCGTGTCACTGTCTGGGGACAGGGACAGCCAGCCCCAGCCGCTGGGTGACATTCCTGTCACCGCGTGTCGGTGACATTCCCGGCCTCACTCGGTGGCCCTCGGTGACCTTGCGGGGCTGGCCTGTCCCCTCCTGTCCCCTCCTGTCCCCTCCTGTCCCCTCCCACCCCACAAATCCCGCCCGCATTGGGACACACCCGCCCCAAACCCAAACCCCGAACCCCACAGGACATCTGTCCCCAAGGGCGACACCCCCAGTGCCACCGCAGCCCCCCCGAGTGTCCCCAGCACCTCCCGCTGTCCCCGAGGTGCCACCTCCGAGGTGCCACCCCCTTGTCGCCCCCGCCCCGCGCTATTCCTGTCCCCAGCCATACAAGGAGCCGGCGGCCACCCCGGGGGACGTCACCTGTCCCCAAGTGTCGCCTTCTGGGTGGCCCGAGCTGGCGACGGTGACATGAGCACGGGGATTGTCACCTCCCGCTCGTTGGGGACACTTTGTCGTGTTTGTCCCTCTCGCTGTTGGGACTGACCCGGGATTAGCGCCCGCCGAGGTGACAGGAATAGCTCTGGGGACACTGGTGGCCCTCGCGCTGGCCTTGGGGACAGCTCTGGGGACACTGCCCTGCACCCGGCCCTTCTCTGTCCCCAGCTCCAGCGGGAACTGTCCCCGTCCTGCTGGGGACACTGGGGACAGCCCACCCCAAACGGGGGGACCGGCCAGGGCAGGGACAAACCCCAAAAGATCGGGGAGACCCCGGGCCAGGAGCACCCCTGGGGGACCCCAAAACTGCCCACGGACCCCAAAACTGCCCACGGACCCCAAAACCGCTCCCTGCACCCCAAAAGTGCCCACGGACCCCAAAACTGCCCACGGACCCCAAAACCGCTCCCTGCACCCCAAAACTGCCCACGGACCCCAAAACTGCCCACGGAGCAGCCAGGGAATCCTTCAGGAGACCCCAAAAGTGCCCACAGAACATCCAGGGGATCCCCCAGGACATGGAAACCCCAAAACTGCCCACGGACCCCAAAAGTGCTCCCTGCACCCCAAAAGTGCCCACGGATCCCAAAACTGCCCATGGAGCGTCCAGAGAATCCCTCAGGAGACCCCAAAACTGCTCCCTGCACCCCAAAACTGCTCCCTGCACCCCAAAAGTGCCCATGGAGCCTCCAGGGAATCCTTCAGGAGACCCCAAAAGTGCCTACGGACCCCAAAACTGCCCATGGAGCATCCAGGGGATCCCTCAGGACATGGAAACCCCAAAAGTGCCCACGGACCCTAAAACTGCCCACGGAGAAACCAGGGAATCCCTCAGGAGACCCCAAAACTGCCCATGGAGCATCCAGGGGATCCCCCAGGGCACAGAGACCCCAAAACTGCTCCCCGCACCCCAAAACTGCCCACGGACCCCAAAACTGCCCACGGAACCTCCAGACAATCCCTCAGGAGACCCCAAAACTGCTCCCCCCACCCCAAAAACCCCAGCCCGGAGCAGGGAATGGGTTTGGGGTCACACCGAGGGGTGAATCCCCCAGGAGACCCCAAAACTGCCCATGGACCCTCCAGGGAATCCCCCAGGAGACCCCAAAACTGCTCCCCCCACCCCAAAACTGCCCACGGACCCTCCAGGAAACCCCACCAGGGCACAGAGACCCCAAAACTGCTCCCCGCACCCCAAAACCGCCCACCGAGAGTCCTCAGGACACGGAGACCCCAAAACTGCTCCCCGCACCCCAAAAACCCCATCCCGGAGCAGGGGATGGGTTTGGGGTCACACCGAGGGGTGAGGGGACATTTTGGGTCCCCCTTTCTCTGCCCTGGGGGTGCTCCCGGGGGTGTCCCCCCAACCCCAAATCCGGGGGTGCGCGGCTGCGTCTCCCCAAAATTGGGGCTCCGGCCGTGCCCGGGTGAGGCTGGGAAACCCCAAACCCGCCCCAAACAGCGCGGGGGGATTTGGGGGACCCCCGAAAAGGGTCGGGGGGGGGCACTCACCGTCCGAGGGGGTCCAGGGGGGTCGGGGGGGGCCGGGGACCCCGATTATTTTGGGGGGGCGCGGAGGAGGCGCGGCCGCCCGCCGGCATCGCGGGGAGCGGGGTTGGGATCGGGATCTTTGGGATCTTCCTATGGGATCACCTTTGGGATCGTCACTGCGGGGAGGCGGCGCTGGAGCAGCCGGGGGGGGGTCCCGGGCACGGGGGTGCGGGGATGGGACCCCCCAAAATGGGTTTGGGGGTGCGGGGATGGCTGAATGCCCCAAAAGTGACCCCAAAAGTGCGGGGGCACAGCCGGGCTCGGGATCTTTGGGATCTTCCTATGGGATCATCTTTGGGATCGTCACTGCGGGGAGGCGGCGCTGGAGCTGCCGGGGCGGGGGGGTCCCGGGCACGGAACCCCCCCCCAAAATGGTCTCAGCGTTATTGGGGTGCGGGGATGGGTGAATTCCCCAAAAGTGACCCCAAAATGCGGGTGCACAACCGGGATCCCCCCCCCCCCGGTTTTGGGGCGCTCCCCATTGGGGGTTCAAGGCCCGGGGGGACCCCACTTGGAGGTGGCACCAAAATTTGGGGTCCCCCTCGTGCTGCGCTGCTCGATATTGGGGTGTGGGGATGATGGGGAAACTCCCACGGGGGTGACCCCAAAACTGGGGGTGCGGGGATGGGTAAAAACCCCCCCCCCCGTTCCTGACCCCAAAACTGCAGAGCCGGGTCCCCCCCGCTCGTGGCTCAAATCTGGGGGTGCAGGGCTGGGTCCCCCCCGGTCCTGACCCCACTTTGGGGATGCAGGGCTGGGTGAACCCCCCTATTCCTGACCCCAATTTGGGGGTGCAGGGCCGAGTGAACCCCCCCCGTTCCTGACCCCACTTTGGGGGTGCAGGGCCGGACCCCCCGGGTGTCCCCGATGTGGGAGCAGACCCGGGGCCGGCTCCCCCCATGTGCTCCCCCATTTTGGGGTTCAGGCCCGGTCCCCCCGTCCCGGTGTCCCCAACACTGGGGGGGGGGGGGGGGGGTCACAGCTCGATGTCCCCTCCTGTCCCCTCCCCCCTTCCCCAAAATTGGGCCCCCCCAAAAGCCACGCGCAGGCCACGTGACCGCCCCGCCCCCTCCCTGTGTTTACATGTTCCAGCCAATCAGCGTGCATCTACCAACGCGCCCTGGCGGCGGGGTAGATTTGTGACGCCCGTCCCCATTGGGCGAAGCGCCTGTCAATCATTCTCCAGCCGCGGGGGCGGGGCGTTCGGTGTTATTTACATCGCGCTCGGCTCCGCCCCCCGCGCGCTGCCCGTCTGCCCCACGTGGGCGACGCGTGCGCTCAGCCAATCAGAGCCGCCATCGGCAGCCAATCCGGAGCGCCGCTCGGTGGGTGGGGTTAATCGCCGGATTGACAGCTCAGCGGCGCAATAGCAACGCGGTTTATATCCGTGCCGCCCAACCAGAACGCTGGAGGGCGTGGCCACGCGGCGGGGCTGGCCAATGGGGGGCGGGGGCGTGGCGGCGGCGGGAGGGGCGGGGCGTGGCGGCGGCGGAGGGCGCGGAGCGGCACCGGCCGGGCCCGAGGTACCGGGGGGGACACGGGGGGGACGCGGGGGCGGCCCCGGGGACCCGGCCCGGGCCCGGCGGGGGCAGCGGCTGCAGCGCGGCCCGGGGGCACTCGGGGAACGCGGGACCGGCGGGGCCAGGGGGGGCTCCGGGCCCGAGCAGGCCCCGCTGTCCCGCGGGCTCCGGGGGGCTCCGGGGGCGCTGCCGGGCCCCGCTCGGGCTCCTGGCGCGGCGCCCCCGGGAGCGGCATCGCGGCGTCCCGAAAGAGCCCCGGAGTGCGCTCGCTGTGGGCCGGGATCGGCTCCTGCGCCCCGTTCCCACTCCTGTTTCATTCCCAATCCCAATCCCATCCCATTCCCATTCCCATCCCGTTCCCATCCCGTTCCCATCCCCATCCCATTCCTATCCTGTTCCCAATCCTGTTCCCGTTCCTATTCCCATCCCAATCCCATTCCCTTTCCCGTTCCCTTCATTCCCATCCCCGTTCCCATTCCCATCCCCGTTCCCATTCCCATTCCAATTCTAGTCCCAATTCCATCCCCATCCCATACCCATTCTCATTCTCATTCTCAATCCCATCTCAGTTCCAATTCCCATTCCAATCCTGTTCCCATTCCCTTTTCCATTCCCATTCCTATCCCAATCCCATTCCTCTTCTCTTTTCCATCCCAATCCCATCCCTGTTCCAATTCCCAATCCCATCCCCATTCCCAATCTCATCCCCATTCCTGTTCCCTTTTCCATTCCCAATCCAATTCCCATCCCAATCCCAATCCCATCCCCATTCCCATTCCCATTCCCATCCCCGTTCCCATTCCCAATCCCGTTCCCATTCCCATTCCATAGGGTTGTGCACACCCCAATTCCCCGTGGATCCCCCAGGCTGTGGCACACTCACATTTGGGGCAGGTCTGTGTCCCCCAATTCCCCCTCCAGCCGGGATTTGGGATATTTCTGCCTCGTTCCCATGGGGTTTTTGGGATATTTGGGATTTTTTCCATGCCAGCCCAGCCTGCAGGGCCGGATGGGGACACCAGGCTGTGTGTCCCAAATCCAGGATTTGGGAAAGGTTTTCCCAAACACTCCTTGGGGTGTTTGGGATAAAAACTCTGGATAAAAGCTCTGGGATTTGGAGGGTTATCCTGGAAACATCCACGTTTGGGGAATTTGGGGTTTTCGTGGAATCCTGAAATGGTTTGGGCTGGGTAAAAAAGCCTTAAATCCCATCCAGGGACATTTTCCATCATCCCAGATGGATCCTTGGCTTCCAGGAATTCTCTGGGAATTCCAGCCCAGCCAGGAATTCCTTGCCAAGATCCCAGCCCAATCTCCCCTTTCCCAGTGGGAGCCATTCCCTGGCTCCTGTCCCTCCATCCCTTGTCCCCTTTTTTACAATCCCTGATCCTTAAAACCCAAACATTCCCTTCTCCATTTCCCCCTCTTTTTTCCCAATTTTTTTCTCCCATTTTTCTCAATTTTTTCCCCTTTTCCCCCCATTTTTCCTCCCCTTTTTCCTCAATTTTTTCCTGTTTTTCCTCCCTTTTTCCCTCTCCAGCTCTCTTGGAGCCCCTTTAGGCACTCAGAGAATTCCCTGGATTTTTCCCTTCTCCAGGTGAACGTTCCCAATTTTCCCAGCCTGGCTCCTTTTCCTGTTCCATGAAGATTTAACCCTTTGGGAATCCTCCCAGATTTCCAACCCAATCCCAGGGCTCCTGTCACTGCAGGAAAGGAGGGAAGTGGGATTGTCCCTGCCCAGGAAATTTTGGGAACGATGAAGACTCCCAGGGCTCATCCCGGCTCAGCCATTCCCGCTGGGGTGGGACAATCCCAGAGATTCCAGCTGTGGAATCCCAAAATTCCAGCTCCAGCATCCTGGGAGAATTCCAGCTCCGGAATCCTGGGAGAATTCCAGCTGTGGAATATCAGGGCAATTCTGGAAAGTTTGAAATCCCGGAATCCCAAAATTCCAGCTCCAGCATCCTGGGAGAATTCCAGCTTTGGAGTCCTGGGAGAATTCCAATTCTGAAACCCCTGGAAAAATTCCAGCTGTGGAGTCTTGGGAGAATTCCAGCTCCAGAATCCCAGGAGAATTCCAGCTCTGAAATCCTGGGAGAATTCCAGCTGTGGAATCCCAAAATTCCAGTTGCAGCATCCTGGGAGAATTCCAGCTCCGGAATCCCGGGAGAATTCCAGTTTTGAAATCCTGGGAGAATTCCAGCTTTGGAGTCCTGGGAGAATTCCAGCTGTGAAATCCTGGGAAAATTCTAATTTTGGAATCCTGGGAGAATTCCAGCTCTGGAATCCTGGGAGAATTCCAGCTGTGGAATCCCAAAATTCCAGTTCTAGCATCCTGGGAGAATTCCAGCTGTGAAATCCTGGGAGAATTCCAGCTTTGGAGTCCTGGGAGAATTCCAGTTTTGGAGAATTCCAGCTCTGGAGTGCCAGGAGAATTCCAATTCTGAAACCCCAGGAGAATTCCAGTTTTGGAGTCCCAGGAGAATTCCAGCTCTGAAATCCTGGGAAAATTCCAATTTTGGAATCCTGGGAGAATTCCAGCTCTGAAATCCTGGGAGAATTCCAGTTTTGAAATCCTGGGAGAATTCCAGCTGTGGAGTCCTGGGAGAATTCCAGTTTTGGAGAATTCCAGCTCTGGAGTGCTAGGAGAATTCCAATTCTGAAACCCCGGGAAAATTCCAATTTTGGAATCCCGGGAGAATTCCAGCTCTGGAATCCTGGGAGAATTCCAATTTTGGAATCCTGGGAGAATTCCAGTTTTGAAATCCTGGAAGAATCCCAGCTGTGGAGTCCTGGGAAAATTCCAGCTGTGGAATCCCAGGAGAATTCCAGCAATCCCAGGAGCTGTTCCCTATCCCGGTCCCGCCTGTTCCGGTGGGATTTGGGATTTTGGGAGAGGTGGCAGAACCATGGAATCCTGGAATTGTGGAATGGTTTGGGTGGGAAAAGGGATCCCAAATCCCAAATCCAAGCTGGGCTTCCCTTCCTGCTTTTCCAGAGGGAATGGGGCCGGGGAACAGAGCCAGGGGTGAATTCCCTGTGGAATTCCCGGCTGGAATTGCTGCTCCTGCTCGATTTTCCCCAGGGATGGATTTTGGGAAGGAATTCTGCTGGTTAACCCTTCCTGTGCCACAGGGATGCTGCAAGCCAGGCTGGGAATGCTGGGAATGTTCTCCTGGAGAAGGGAAAATTCCAGGGAATCCTCAGAGTGCCTGCAGGGGCTCCAGGAGAGCTGGAGAGGGGCTGGGGACAAGGCCTGCAGGGACAGGAGCCAGGGAATGGCTCCCACTGGGAAAGGGGAGATTGGGCTGGGATCTTGGCAAGGAATTCCTGCCTGGGCTGGAATTCCCAGATTTGCTGGGGCTGCCCCTGGATCCCTGGCAGTGCCCAAGGCCAGGTTGGATCCACCTGGGACAGAGGGAGGTGTCCCTGTCCATGGATGGGGTGGGATGGGATGGGATTTGAGGTCTTTTCCAACCCAAACCATTCCAGGATTCCGGAGCTCTTCTGCTCTGGCAGAGCTGGGAATGCTCCCCTGGAGAAGGGAAAATTCCAGGGAATATTGAAAATCCCTGGAGGCAGGGGCAGGATCCAGGGAATGGGATTCCATCCCGTGGGATCAGGGCTGGCCTTTGGGCCCCCCAGCCGCTCCCTCATTCCCGAATTCCCGATCCCAGAGTCCCTGAGGATGAATGGCTCCGAGCTCGCCGGCAGCACCGCACCCAACCCCAAAGGAAAGGAGGATCCAGCTGGGAATGGGCACGAGGAGAAGGAGAACAATCCCTTCGCTGAGTACATGTGGATGGAGAACGAGGAGGACTTCAACCGGCAGGTGGGATTCCCGGAATTCCTGGGATTTGGGAACAGCCTGGGGTGAGTCCCAGAGATTCCCGGAGATTCCCGGGATTTGGGAACAGCCCGGGAGTGAGTCCCAGAGATTCCCGGAATTGCTGGGATTTGGGAACAGCCTGGGAGTGATTCCCAGAGATTCCCGGAATTGCTGGGATTTGGGAACAGCCTGGGAGTGATTCCCAGAGATTCCCGGAATTGCTGGGATTTGGGAACAGCCCGGGGTGATTCCCGGAGATTCCCGGAATTGCTGGGATTTGGGAACAGCCTGGAGTGAGTCCCAGAGATGGGAATTGCTGGGATTTGGGAACAGCCTGGGGGTGATTCCCAGAGATTCCCAGAATTGCTGGGATTTGGGAACAGCCTGGGGGTGAGTCCCAGAGCTGGGAATTGCTGGGATTTCGGTTTAGCCTGGGAGTGATTCCCAGAGAATTCCACATCCAGGAATTCCCAGAGAATTCCACATTCAGGAATCCTCGGGATTTTGGGTTCAGCCTGGGGTGATTCCCGGAGATTCCCGGAATTCCTGGGATTTGGGAACAGCCCGGGAGTGATTCCCAGAGAATTCCACATCCAGGAATTCTCGGGATTTGGGATTCAGGGCGGGTTTCAGTCTGGGGTGAGTCCCAGAAATTCCCACATTTGGGAATTCTTGGAATTCAGGAATAGGGCAGATTTTAGCTTGGAGGTGATTCCCAGAGATTCCCATATCCAGGAATTCTTGGGATTTGGGAACAGGCTGGATTTCAGTATGGGGGTGATTCCCAGAGGCTCCCACATTTGGGAATTCTCGGGATTTGGATTTCAGCCTGGAATTGATTCCCAGAGAATTCCATATCCATGAATTCTTGGGATTTGGGTTCAGCCTGGGGGGGTGATTCCCAGAGATTCCCAAATTTTGGGAATTCTCAGGATTCAGGGCAGATTTCAGCCTGGGGGCGGTTCCCAGAGAATTCCACACCGAGGAATTCCCGGCATTTGGGAACAGCCTGAATCCCAGAGATTCCCACATCCAGGAATTCTCGGGATTCAGGGTGGATTTCAGCCTGGGGTGATTCCCAGAGAATTCCATATCCATGAATTCTTGGGATTTGGGTTCAGCCTGGGGGTGATTCCCAGAGATTCCCAAATTTTGGGAATTCTCAGGATTCAGGGCAGATTTCAGCCTGGAGTGGTTCCCAGAGAATTCCACATCCAGGAATTCTCGGGATTTGGGAACGGGGGGGCGGATTTCAGCCTTGGGGGTGATTCCCAGAGATTCCCACATCCAGGAATTCTCGGGATTCAGGGTGGATTCCAGCCTGGGCTGGTTCCCACCCCCTGTGTGTATCCATAGGGAAAGCGATCCCTTCTCCCCAGATTTTGGGATTTTCCTTCCCTTTCCTCAGGATCAGCCCCTGGAGTTTGGGTCCAGATCCCAGTCTGGGCTGAAATCCTGGATTTCAGGGAATCTCCGGAGCGGGCAGAGCTCCTGGGATGTTGTGCTGGGACCCAAACAGCTCCAAAATTCGGGAATAACGACCTGGAAGAGCTTTGGATCCTCATCCCAATCCCAGGATCCTTGGAAAAGGGATCAGCACCAGGATATTCCCAAATATCCCTCATCCCAATCCCAGGACATTCCCTGGAGCCATTCCAGGAGCTGGAGACACCTTGGGAAGGAGGAAGGAGCTTTTCCCTCCTTCCTTCCCTAAAACATTCCCAGGCTCCAATTCCCACCCCCAGGGTGTCCAGGAAGGCCGGGAAAAGGGAATTCCCGCCCCCTTTTCTCCACAGGAAAATTCCAGCAGCATTCCTGGTTTATCCTCAGCCAAAATTCCAATTCCATGACTTTGGATTTTCCTCCAGAGGTTTTCCCTCTTCCTGAATTTCCCAAAGCCACGTGGCTCCCCTGGATTTTCCAGCTGGGATTTGGGACATCCATCCAATGGGATGGAGCTCTCCAGGTGCTTTTCCAGCCCTTTCCCATGGATCCAGACGTTCCTTTCCCATAGATCTGGAAATTCCCATGGATCCAGAAATGCTTTTCATTGGATCTCTGGAAATTCCTTTCCCAAGGATCCAGAGATTCCCAAGGATCCAGAAATTTTTTTCTCAATGGATCCGGAAATTCCTTTCCCAAGGATCCAGAGATTCCCATGGATCGGGAAATTCCTTTCCCATGGATCCAGAAATTTTTTTCCCCCATGGATCCAGAAATTCCTTTCCAATGGATCCAGACATTCCTTTCCCATGGATCCAGAAATTTTTTTCTCCATGGATCCGGAAATTCCTTTCCCATGGATCCTGAAATTCTTTTCCAATGGATCCAGAATTTTTTTCCTTCACGGATCTGGAAATTCCTTTCCCCTGGATCCTGAAGCTCTTTTCCCATAGATCCAGAAATTTCTTTTCCAAGGATCCAGAGATTCCTTTCCCATGGATCTGGGGCTGAGGGGAGCATCCAGGCTGGCAAACAGGGAATGTTCACCTGCAGGTGCAGAATCCTGGGATATTCATCCTCCTGCCAGGATGAGCTGACATTCCTGGGATATTTGGATTTTAGATCCCGATTTCTCTGCAGGAATTCCTTCCCAAATCCCAGCCAAATCCCACTTTTCCAACGGGAGCCATTCCCTGTGTCCTGTCCCTCCGTCCCTCGTCCCCAGCCCTGCAGCCCCTTTAGGAACTCTGAGAATTCCCTGGATTTTTCCCAGGTGGAACGTGGAAAACTCAGCCTTTCCCCGGCATTCCATGGATCAAAATTTTCAGGATTGGCTCCTCTTGGAGTCTCCTAAATCCAGGGAAAAAAAAACCCAAAAAAACCAACCAGGAAAACGGGAATGTCTGCGATTCCCAACCCCATCCTCTGCTTCCACCTCCCTGCCTGGGCAGCTCCAGGAATTCCAGGCTGGGGAAGCCTGGGATCACATCCACCATTCCTGGAGAAAGGAATTCTTGGAAAAAAAGGAATTCTTGGAAAAAAAGGGAATTCTTGGAAAAAAAAGGAATTCTTGGATAAAAAAGGAATTCCTGGAACAAAGGAGGCTCAGGGATCTTCTGGAGCCCCACAAATCCCTGGTAGGGGGAGGCAGGTGGGAATCGGGATTTGGGAACGGTGATGGGATGAGAGGGAAAGCTGGGAAAAATTGGGAATGTTCCTGTTGGAAAGGAGCTGGAATGGCCCCGTATTCCCGGCGGGATTGGGCGGATGCGGCACCCGGGCACGGGAAGGGTCCCTCCGAGGGCTTTTCCGACCTCGAGAATTCCGTGAGCTCCTCGGAGCTGCCGGCTCTTCCCGGCATTCCCGTCCCTTGGAATGTTCTCCTTGCAGGTGGAGGAGGAGCTGCAGGAGCAGGAATTCCTGGATCGCTGCTTCCAGGAGATGCTGGAGGAGGAGGAGCAGGATTGGTTCATCCCGGCGCGGGATCTCCCGCAGGGAATGGCGCAGCTCCAGCAGCAGCTCCACGGCCTCTCCGTGGGCGACGGGCACGCGGCCGAGGACATCCTGGTGAGCGCCTGCCCGGGATGGGCGGCACAGCAGCATTCCCGGGATTGGTGCCACAGCATTCCCGGGATTGGTGCAGCATTCCCTGGGATCGGTGCAGCATTCCCGGGATTGGCACAACATTCCTGGGATCAGCACATTCCCGGGATTGGTGCAGCATTCCCGGGATTGGCACAGCATTCCCTGGGATCGGTGCCGCATTCCCAGGATTGGCACCACAGCATTCCCGGGATCGGTGCAGCATTCCCGGGATTGGTGCAGCATTCCTGGGATTGGTGCCGCAGCATTCCCAGGATCGGTGCCGCATTCCCAGGATCGGTGCCGCATTCCCAGGATCGGTGCCGCATTCCCGGGATCGGTGCAGCATTCCCTGGGATTGGCACATTCCCGGGATCGGCGCCGCATTCCTGGGATCAGTGCAGCATTCCCGGGATTGGCACATTCCCGGGATCGGCACATTCCCTGGGATCGGTGCAGCATTCCCTGGGATCGGGACATTCCCGGGATCGGTGCCGCATTCCCGGGATCGGTGCAGCATTCCCGGGATCAGTGCATTCCCGGGATCGGCACCGCATTCCTGGGATCGGCACCACATTCCCGGGATTGGTGCAGCATTCCCGGGATCGGCGCTGCATTCCCAGGATTGGCACCGCAGCATTCCCGGGGTCGGCGCCGCATTCCCGGGATCGGCACATTCCCGGGATCGGCGCCACAGCATTCCCGGGGTCGGTGCAGCATTCCTGGGATTGGCACCGCATTCCCGGGATCGGCACAGCATTCCCGGGAATCCTGTCCCTGGAATTGTCCCATTCCTGGAACTGTCCCATCCTTGGAATTGCCCAATCCTTGGAATCCTATCCCTGGAATTCTCCCATCCCTGGAATTGTCCCATCCCTGGGACTGTCCCATCCTTGGAATCCTGTCCCTGGAATTGTCCTGTCCCTGGAATTGTCCTGTCCTTGGAATTCCACCCTTGGAATTCTATCCCTGGTATTCTCCCATCCCCGGGAATTGTCCCATCCTTGGGATTGTCCCATCCTTGGGATTGTCCCATCCCTGGAACTGTCCCATCCCTGGAATCCTGTCCCTGGAATTGTCCCATCCTTGGAATTCTCTCATCCCTGGAATTGTCCCATCCTTGGAATTGCCCAATCCTTGGAATCCTATCCCTGGAATTGTCCTGTCCTTGGAATCCTATCCCTGGTATTCTCCCATCCCTGGAATTGTCTGTCCCAACCTTGGAGGTCTCTCCCTGGAATTGTCCCATTCTTAAAATTGTCCCATTCTTGGAATTGTCCCATGCCTGGAATTCCACCCCTGGAATCGTCCCATCCCTGGAACTGTCCCACCCTTGGAATTCTCTCCCTGGAATTCTCCCATCCCTGGAATTGTCTATCCCGACCTTGGAGTTCTCTCCCTGGAATTGTCCCATCCTTAAAATTGTCCCATCCATGGAATTCTGTCCCTGGGATTGTCCCATTCCCTGGAATTGTCCCATCCTTGGGATTGTCCCATCCTTGGACTTGCCCAATCCTTGGAATCCTATCCCTGGTATTCTCCCATCCCTGGAATTGTCTGTCCCATCCTTGGAGTTCTCTCCCTAGAATTGTCCCATCCATGGAATTGGCCCAGTCTTGGAATTCTCCCAGCCCTGAAATTCCACCCCTGGAATTGTCCCATCCTTAAAATTGTCCTATCCCTGGAATTCTGTCCCTGGAATGCTCCTATCCCTGGAATTATCCCATCCCAGGAATTGACCCATCTCTGTAATTGTCCCAGTCTTGGAATTTTCCCATCCCTGGAATTCTACCCCTGGAATTGTCCAATCCTTAAAATTGTCCCCATCCATGGAATTCTCCTATCCCTGGAATTCTGTCCCTGGAATTATCCAATCCCTGGAATTTTGTCACAAGAATTGTCCCATCCTTAAAATTGTCCAATCCCTGGAATTCTCCCATCCTCAAAATTGTCCCATCCCTGGAATCTTCCAGTCCCTGGAATTCTATCCTTGGAATTCTCCAATCCCTGGAATTCTCCCATCCTTAATTGTCCCATTCCTGGAATTGCCCCTGGATCCCTGGAAGTGTCCAAGGCCACACTGGATCCACCTGGAATATTTGGATTGGGATGGGATTTAGGGATGGGATTTGAGGATGGGATTTGAGGATCCCTTCCCACCCAAGCCATTCCACAATTCCACGAATTTCCTCTCCACGTGATCCCACAGAAACCCCAGATTTCCCAAACCCAGCCCGAGACCCCAAACCCGGGGAACCCTCAACCCATCCCAGGAATCCCTGGAATTCCCAACACTGACCAATCCCATTCCCATCTTTTTTTCCCAGAGCAAAAGCAACTTGAATCCAGATGCCAAGGAATTCATTCCCGGCGTGAAGTACTGACCTCGGAAATTCGGGAATGGCCTGGCCAGAGACTGAATCCCTGCTCCAGGGAAAAGCTGGGACATGGGAAGAGCCCGGAGCGGCTCCGGCACCGGGATCTGCTCCAGCTCCAACTTCTGGGTTTCCCTAAATTTTTTTTTTCCTTTTTTTTGTTTTTTTTTTTCCTGGCTTTTCCTCACGTTTTCTTGGCAGTTTTTGGCTTCCTGGGATTTGCGGCGACCCCGCCAGCGGGAAAATCTTGGGAAAAGTCATGGGAAAATCACAGGAAAATAATGGGAAAAATCACGGAAAAATCACAGGAAAATCGTGGGAAGATCACAGGAAAATCCTGGGAAAATCTTGGGAAAAATCATGGGAAAATTACAGGAAAATCTTGGGAAGATCACAGGAAAATAATGGGAAAAATCACAGGAAAAATCACGGAAAAAATCACAGGAAAATCTTGGGAAGATCACAGGAAAATAATGGGAAAATCTTGGGAAAAATCATGGAAAAATCACAGGAAAATCCTGGGAAAATCACAGGAAAATCCTGGGAAAATCTTGGGGAAATAATGGAAAAATCACAGCAAAATCTTGGGAAAATCACAGGAAAATAATGGGAAAATCTTGGGAAAAATCATGGGAAAATTACAGGAAAATTTTGGGAAGATCACAGGAAAATAATGGGAAAAATCACAGGAAAAATCACAGGAAAATCATGGGAAAAATAATGGAAAAATCACAGGAAAATCGCGGGAAGATCACAGGAAAATAATGGGAAAGTCTTGGGAAAAATCATGGGAAAATCCTGGGAAAATCTTGGGAAAAGTCATGGGAAAATCACAGCAAAATAATGGGAAAATCACAGGAAAATCCTGGGAAAATCTTGGGGAAATAATGGAAGAATCACAGCAAAATCTTGGGAAAAATCATGGGAAAATCACAGCAAAATCTTGGGAAAATCACAGGAAAATAATGGGAAAATCTTAGGAAAAATCATGGGAAAATTACAGGAAAATCTTGGGAAAATCTTGGGAAAAAATCCTGGGAAAATCACAGGAAAATAATGGGAAAATCTTGGGAAAAAATCATGGGAAAATCCTGGGAAAATCACAGGAAAATAATGGGAAAATCTTGGGAAAATAATGGAAGAATCACAGCAAAATCTTGGGAAAATCTTGGGAAAAATCATGGGAAAATCACAGGAAAATCCTGGGAAAATCTTGGGGAAATAATGGAAAAATCACAGCAAAATCTTGGAAAAATCACAGGAAAATAATGGGAAAATCTTGGGGAAATAATGGAAAAATCACGGGAAAAATCATGGAAAAATAATGGGAAAATCACGAGAAAATAATGGAAAAATAATGAGAAAAGCATGGGAAATCAATAATGGGAAAATCATGGAAAATCTTGGGGAAAATCATGGAAAATCTTGGGAAAAATCATGGAAAATCATGGACTATCAATAATGGGAAAATAATGGGAAATCAGTAATGGGAAAATCAGCTTTTCCTGCTTCCAGAGGATTTTAGGGTTGGGAGCTGCACTGGATTTTCCCTGATCTTTCGGGAATGGATTTTCCCTGATTTTTCGGGAGCGGGATTTTCCCTGATTTTTTGGGAATGGGATTTTCCCTGGTTTTTCCGGGCTGGGATTTTCCCTGCTGGAAGTGAAGGGTTCCAAGGTGCAATCCCGAAATTCCTCCATGTGGAAGCTGAGCAGGGGGATCCTGCCAATCCCAGAGGTTTTTAGGGAAACCTGGATTTCCCAAACTCCTCTTCCCCTTAAGGAATTCCTCAGCTCATCCAACACTACAGCCCTGATTCCTCAAAATCCAAGGAAAACTGAATTCCTGGGAAAAGGAGAGGGTTGGGATGAGGGATATTTGGGAATATCCTGGTGCTGATCCCTTTTCCAAGGATCCTGGGGTGGGATCCGTGTCTCCATCGGGATTTGATCCTGGGAATTTCCTTCCCAATCCATGGGAGCTGCAGCTCCCAAAATCCCAGCCATTCCCACGGTTCTGAGAGGCTCAGAAATCCAAGGAAAGCGGGAGATCCTTGATTTTGGGAATCCCTATCCAAGGAAATCAGGAACTTTTTGGGATTGGAAATCCCTATCCAGGGAAAGCAGGAGCTCCTTGGGGTCAGGAATCCCTATCCAAGGAAATTAGGAACTTTTTGGGATTGGGAATCCCTATCCAAGGAAATCAGGAGCTCCTTGGGGTTGGGAATCTCTGTCTGAGGAAATCAGGAGTGTCTTGGGATTGGGAATCCCTGTCCAAGGAGAGCAGGAGCTTCCCAAGGTCAGAAACCCTGCCCAGGGAAACCAGGAATGTTTTGGGATTGGGAATCCCTGTCCAAGGATATCAGGAGTTCCTTGGGATTGGGAATCCCTATACAGGGAAATCAGGAACTTTTTGGGATTGGGAATCCCTATGGAGAAAAATGGGGAATGTTTTGGGATTGGAAATCCCTACAGAGGAAGAATAGGAGCTCCTTGGGGTCAGGAATCCCTGTCCAAGGAAATCAGGAACTTTTTGGGATTGGGAATCCCTGTCCAAGGAAATCAGAAGCTCCTGATCGGGGCCAGAAATCCCTGCCCAGAAAAATCAGGAACTTTTTGGGATTGGGAATGTCTGCCTGGAGAAAGTGGGAGCTCTCTGGGATTGGGAATCCCTCTACAAGGAAATCAGGAATTTTTTGGGATTGGGAATCCCTCTACAAGGAAATCAGGAATTTTTTGGGATTGGGAATCCCTGTCCAGGGAAATCAGGAGCCTCCCAAGGTTACAAACCCCTGTGCCTGGAAAACGGGACCTACTTGGGGTTGGAAATCCCAAACCAGGAGCATCCCAAAGGCTCCAAACCCCTTTTCCAGGGAAAGTGGGATCTGCTGGGCTGGGGAACCGGCCCCGTTCCCGCTGCTCATCCCTGGAAATCCCCATGGATCAGCGGGACCGGGGCCGCCGGAGCGTGAACAGGGCTGAGCTCATGGAATTCCCGGCGCTTCCCGCTGTTCCAGCCCCTCTGGAAGCAGCGGCCCCATGGAAACCCCGCCCCACAAGCCCCGTTTGGGGCCGGCTTTGGCTGGGATGGATCCCACGCTCTCCCCTCCTCTTTTTCCCGGTTTTCCTTGGATTTCTCCCCCAGTTCCCTCCTTGTCCCCACCCCCAATGCTGTACATTTCAGACCAGAGGCGTTATCCCAAATAAACTTTTTTTGGAAGGGAGCGGGGCCGGAGTTTTCCTTGGAGAACTGTGGGGTCTCCGTTCGGCCGCCCCACCCCTCCCAGTGATCCCAGCCATTCCCAGTTTGGAGCCTGTGCTGGCTCCGCTTGGGAATTCCCCTCCTGGAGAAGCTCCTGGAGGATTTTCCAGCACTTTGGCCTTTCTGGGCACTTTTGATTCCCTACGGGGATTTTCTCCCTTTTTTTGTTTCCCCTTTTTAAGGGGAGTTCCCCCAAAAGCTGCTCCAGCAGCTCCACGTCCATTCCCAGGCTGGGGATGTCATCCCTGATCCCAATCTTTGGGATTTCCTCCTTCCTGCTTTTCCTTGGATGCAGAGCCCTCCCTGCCTGTGCTGGCAGGCTCAGCACCCCAATCCCAATCCCATTCCCATTCCCAATCCCATTCTCAATCCTGTTCCCAATCCCATTCTCATTTCCATTCACAATCTCATTCCCAATCCCGTTCCCATTCCCATTCCCAATCCTGTTCCCAATCCCATTCTCATTTCCATTCACAATCTCATTCCCAATCCCAATCCCATTCCCAATCCCAATCCCATTCCCAATCCCGTTCCCATTCCCATTCCCAATCCTGTTCCCAAACCCATTCTCATTTCCATTCACAATCTCATTCCTGTTCCCAATCCCATTCCCAATCCCCTACCCCGTGCCAATCCCATCCTGCCCCATTCCCACTCTCCCATCTCCATCCCATCCCCACACGCTTATCCTCATCCTGCCCCATTCCATGATCCCATTCCATGATCCCATTCCCATCCTGCCCCATTCCATGATCCCATTCCCATCCTGTCCCATTCCCATGATCTTATCCTCATCCTGCCCTATTCCCACTCTCCCATCTCCATCCCTCCCCACATTCTCATCCTCATCCTGCCCCATTCCATGCTCTCGTTCCCACTCCCTATCCTCTCAGTCCCATCCCCATCCTGCCCCATTCCCATCCTGCTCCATCCCCTCACTCCTGGTCCCATTCCCACTCTCCCTTTCCCATTCCCATTCCCACCTCCCCAATTCCCATTCCCATTCCCACTCCCCTGGGCCAGTGCAACCGTTTTATTGCTGAACCACACACCCCACGCACCCACAGACCCCACAGACCCCAAACACCCTCACACACCCCACACACCCCACGCACTCCACACACCCCACAGACCCCACACACCCCCCAGCCCCGCCCCTCCCGCGCCCGCTCCCCCTTCATCCGGGGGCCGCTCCAGGGGCAGTTTTGGGGCACTGTCCTCATGTTTGGGGTGGCTCTGGGGGCAGTTTTGGGGCTCTGTCCCATGTTTGGGTTGCTCTAGGGGCAGTTTTGTGGTGCTGTTCGGTTTTTGGGTTGGCTCTGGGGGCAGTTTTGGGGCACTGTTCCATTTTTGGGGCACTCTGTGGGCAGTTTTGTGGCGCTGTCCCATGTTTGGGTTGCTCTGGGGGCAGTTTTGGGGCACTCTAGGGCAGTTTTGGGGCTCTGTTCCATTTTTTTTGGGGCACTCTAGGGCAGTTTTGGGGCTCTGTTCCCGTGTTTTGGGGCACTCTGGGGGCAGTTTTGGGGCTCTGTCCCATTTTTGGGGCGCTCTGTGGGCAGTTTTGGGTCCCTGTCCCCGTGTTTGGGGTGCAGCTCTCAGAACTCGTGTGTGTAGAACACGTCCACGTTCCCGGCGCGATCCAGCGGCAGCGCCGCCCCCACGTTCCGGGCCCCGAGCCGCGCCCCCCCCAGCGCCGAGGAGCGCCGCAGCCTCAGCAGGCTGAACCTGGAGAAATGGCCCTGAGCCGCCAACCGCGCCTGCTCCAGCACCGGGATGAACCCTGCGGACACCGGCACGCGCTCACGCCCCACCCCAAACACAACCCAAAAGCCAGCCCCAAAAGCCAAAAGCCAGCCCCAAAAGCCAAAAGCCAGCCCCAAAAGCCAAAAGCCAGCCCCAAACACAACCCCAAAAGCCGACCCCAAAAGCCAACCCCAAAACCAACCCCAAAAGCCAACCCCAAAAGCCGACCCCAAACCCAACCACAAAAGCCAATGCCAAAAGCCAACGCCAAAAGTGAACCCCAAAATCCAACCCCAAAAGCCAACCCCAAAAGTGAACCCCAAAATCCAACCCCAAAAGCCAGCCCCAAAAGCCAACCCCAAAAGCCGACCCCAAACCCAACCCCAAAAACCAACCCAAAAAGCAAACCCCAAACCCAACCCCAAAAGCCAACCCCAAAAGTGAACCCCAAAAGCCGACCCCAAAAGCCGACCCCAAAACCAACCCCAAAAGCAAACCCCAAAAGCCGACCCCAAAAGCCGACCCCCAAAACCAACCCCAAAGCCAACCCCAAAAGTGAACCCCAAAAGCCGACCCCAAAAGCCGACCCCAAAAGCCGACCCCAGAAGGCAATCCCAAACCCAACCCCAAAAGCCAACCCCAAACCCAACCCCAAACCCAACCCCAAAAACCAACCCAAAAAGCAAACCCCAAAAGCCAACCCCAAAAGTGAACCCCAAAAGCCAACCCCAAAAGTGAACCCCAAAAGCCAACCCCAAAACCAACCCCAAAAGCAAACCCCAAAAGTGAACCCCAAAAGCCAACCCCAAAATCCAACCCCAAAAGCCAACCCCAAAAGCCAACCCCAAAAGCAACCCCAAAAGTGAACCCCAAAATCCAACCCCAAAAGCCGACCCCAAAATCCAACCCCAAAAGCCAACCCCAAAATCCAACCCCAAAATCCAACCCAGAAAGTGAACCCCAAACCCAGCCCCAAAAGCCAACCCCAAAAGAACCCAGCCCCCGGAGGCCCCGCTGCGCTCACCCGCCCGCAGGCGCTCCCAGCTGTTCCACACGGAGCCCACGCAGACGATGGGCAGCCCCAGCTCGCCCCCGAACAGGCTCTGCGGGGTGGCCGCGCTCAGACAGGGACGGTGGCACCGCCGGGGGGTGGGGACACCCGTCCGGGCGCGGTGGCACCGATGGCACCGCCGGGTGCGGCCTCACCTGGTGGATCTTGGGCAGCACGGCCACCACGTGGCGCGCCAGCACCGCGCCCGCCTTGGTGAAGATGTGGCAGCACAGCGGGTCACCGAGCTGGGCACCTGAGGGTGGCACCCACAGGGACATGGGACACTCCCCTGTGCCCCCTTCCCCAGGGGTGGCACCCACGGGGACATGGGACACTCCTCTGTGCCCTTCCCCAGGGGTGGCACCCACAGGGACATGGGACACTCCCCTGTGCCCCCTTCCCCAGGGGTGGCACTCACAGGGACATGGGACACTCCCCTGTGCCCCCTACCCTGGGGGAGGCACCCACAGGGACATGGGACACTCCTCTGTGCCCTTCCCCAGGGGTGGCACCCGCGGGGACATGGGACACTCCCCTGTGCCCCCTACCCCAGGGGTGGCACCCACAGGGACATGGGACACTCCCCTGTGCCCCCTATCCCAGGGGTGGCACCCATAGGGACATGGGACACTCCTCTGTGCCCCCTACCCCAGGGGTGGCACCCACAGGGACATGGGACACTCCTCTGTGCCCTACCCCAGGGGTGGCACCCGCGGGGACATGGGACACTCCCCTGTGCCCTACCCCAGGGGTGGCACCCACAGGGACATGGGACACTCCCCTGTGCCCCCTTCCCCAGGGGTGGCACTCATGGGGACATGGGACACTCCTCTGTGCCCCCTTCCCCCCTTGGAGGTGGCACCTGGGTGTCCCCACCCCGAGGAGGGCAGAGGGTGCTGGGGTCAAGGTGCGCCCGGGGCAGAGAGCGGGGAGTGGCAGCGGGAGGGACAAGGGGACAGCGATAAGGGGACAAGGATAAAGGGACAGGGATAAGGCAGCAGGGACAAAGGGACAGGGATAAGGGGACGGGGACAAGTGGGCAGGGACAAGGGGACAGGCAAAAGGGGACAAGGATAAGGGGGCAGGGATAAGGGGGACAGGGATGGGAAGGGGGACAGGGACAAATGGGATAGGGACAAGGGAGGTAGGGACAACGGGGATGGGGACAAACAGGGACAGGGACAAGCAGGTGACAGGGACAATGGGGTCATTCCCTGGGCAGGGGTTTCCCTACCCTCCGCCAGTTTCTGGCAAAATCCTGCAAATTTGGACTTCTCGAAGGTGCGGTAGAGGTGGGTCAGGAGCCCCATCCTGTCCGAGATCTGCGGGGTCGGGGCCAGGGGGGCCCCGGGTGAGGGCTGGGGACCCCTCCTGGGCACCCCAATGTCCCTGGGTACAGCTGGGAGCAACCCCAGGCCAGCCAGGACCCCGGAACATGGCTCAGGGCCACCCCTGGACCCCAACACCCACCCCAAAACCCTTCCAGGACCCCAATACTCACCCCAGCCCTGCCTCCAGGACCTTGGCACCCATCCCAGAGCCCTTCCAGGGCCCCGAGACCCATCCCAACCCCCCAAAACTCCCAATACTCAGCCCAAAGCCCCTCCAGGACCCCAAAACCCATCCCAAACCCCTCAAGACCTCCGATACCCATCCCACAACACCCCCGGACCCCTACACCCATCCCAAAGCCCCTTAAGAAAGACACTGATACCCATCCCAAAACTTCCCCAACACCCTGATACCCATCCCAGATCCCTGAAAACCCATCCCAAACCTCCCCAGAACCCCAACACCCATCCCAAAGCCCTACTAGAATCTCAAAACCCATCCCAACCTCCCCAACACCCCAAAATCCATCCCAAAGCCCCAAGAACCCCAAAACCCATCCCAAACACCCCAAAAGCCCCGGCAGCACCTGGAAGTAGTCGAACATGGCCTGCCTGACGTAGGCGACGTCGTGGGGCGGCACCTCCAGGTTGTCCATGCAGTCAAACACAATCTTGATAGCCTGGTGAGCGATCCAGTACGCTGGGAATAACGGGAACGGGGTCAGGGATGGATGGATGGATGGATGGATGATGGATGGATGATGGATGGATGATGGATGGATGGATGGATGATGGATGGATGGATGATGGATGATGGATGGATGGATGATGGATGGATGGATGATGGATGGATGGATGGATGATGGATGGATGATGGATGGATGGATGGATGATGGATGATGGATGGATGGATGGATGGATGGATGGATGGATGGATGATGGATGATGGATGATGGATGGATGGATGATGGATGGATGGATGGATGGATGATGGATGGATGATGGATGGATGATGGATGGATGATGGATGGATGATGGATGATGGATGGATGGATGGATTGATGGATGATGGATGGATGGATGGATGGATGGATGATGGATGGATGATGGATGGATGATGGATGGATGATGGATGGATGGATGATGGATGGATGATGGATGGATGGATGATGGATGGATGGATGATGGATGGATGGATGGATGGATGGATGGATGATGGATGGATGGATGGATGGATGGATGGATGGATGGATGATGGATGGATGGATGATGGATGGATGGATGATGGATGGATGGATGATGGATGGATGGATGGATGATGGATGGATGGATGGATGGATGATGGATGATGGATGGATGGATGATGGATGGATGGATGGATGGATGGATGATGGATGGATGATGATGGATGGATGGATGGATGATGGATGGATGATGGATGGATGGATGATGGATGGATGGATGGATGATGGATGGATGGATGATGGATGGATGGATGGATGGATGATGGATGGATGGATGGATGATGGATGGATGGATGATGGATGGATGGATGGATGGATGGATGGATGGATGGATGGATGGATGGATGATGGATGGATGATGGATGGATGGATGGATGGATGGATGGATGGATGATGGATGGATGGATGATGGATGGATGGATGGATGGATGATGGATGGATGGATGGATGATGGATGGATGGATGGATGGATGATGGATGGATGATGGATGGATGGATGGATGGATGATGGATGGATGATGGATGGATGGATGATGGATGGATGGATGATGGATGGATGGATGGATGGATGGATGGATGGATGGATGGATGGATGGATGGATGGATGGATGATGGATGATGGATGGATGGATGGATGGATGGATGGATGATGGATGGATGGATGGATGGATGGATGATGGATGGATGATGGATGGATGGATGGATGGATGGATGATGGATGGATGATGGATGGATGATGATGGATGGATGGATGGATGATGGATGGATGGATGATGGATGGATGATGGATGGATGGATGGATGGATGGATGGATGGATGGATGGATGGATGGATGGATGGATGGATGGATGGATGGATGATGGATGGATGATGGATGGATGATGGATGGATGGATGGATGGATGATGGATGGATGGATGATGGATGGATGATGGATGGATGATGGATGGATGATGGATGGATGGATGGATGATGGATGGATGATGGATGGATGATGGATGATGGATGGATGGATGGATGGATGGATGGATGATGGATGGATGATGGTCACTAATGGGGTCAGTAATGGGGTCAATAATGGGGTCAGCAGTGGGGTCAGCAATGGGGTCTCCCCTCCCCGGTGCCCCCCGGGCTCACCAGAGCCTTCGTCCCCCATCATGTGTCCCCAGCCTCCACAGCCGGTCTCGGAGCCGTCGGGGTTGATGAGTTTGCAGTTGGAGCCCGTGCCCGAGATGAGCACGATGCCACCTGCGGGGTGACACCCATGGGGGTGGCACGGTGCCCGATGTCACCAATGCCATCCCAGCCACCAGGGACAACGGGGACAGGGACAAACAGGGACAGGGACAAGGGGGACAGGAATGGCAAGGGGGACAGGGACAATGGGGACAGGTACAAATGGGCCAGGGACAAGGGGGACAGGGCCCAGCCGCACCGTGGTCGGTGGCCGTGGCCATGGCCCCCACGGCGTCGGTGGTGATGAAGTAGCTCTGGCTCAGGTGGGGGAAGCGGCGCTGCAGCTCCTCCGTCAGCTTCCCGATGGCGTCCTGCTGGTCCCCTCCGCTCAGGGACAGCCCCTGCCGCACCCAGGGCCACCGTCACCCCCGTGGTGGCACCGGGGGGGTGGCACGGGGCTTGGGGACAGCGCGGGGGGCTCACCAGGGAGCGCAGGGGCACCTGGGGGTCGGCGCCCGCCTTGCTCTTGGCCTCGGTGACCATGCGCTCGATCCTCTCCAGGCACTTGTCGGAGCCGATGAGCTGTGACACGGCCAGGGGACACCCTGAGGCCACCAAGGTGCCACACCGGGGGTCCCACGTGGCGTTTTGGACACCTTGAGGCCACCCTGGGGGTCTCACACGGGTTTTTGGACACCCTGAGGCCACCCCAGTGCCACCCAAGGGTCCCGCATGGGGTTTTGGGTATGGGAACGCCCTGAGGCCACCCAGGGGCCATCCCATGAGGGTTTTTGGGAATGGGACACCGTGTCACCATCTGCAGTGGCTGCGTCCCACCCAGGTGTCCGTGAGTTTGGGGACAACCAGAAACAGCAACACTCCGTGTCCCACACGCTGCTCCACACCCCACATCTCCATGTCCCACACCCCATTCCGTGTCCCAAACCCATTTCCATGTCCCAAACCCAGGCCTGTGTCCCAAACTCTGCTCCCTGTCCCAAACTCATCTCCATATCCCACATCCCACATCCCACAGCCCACTCCATGTCCCAAAGCCAGCTCTGTGTTCCATACCCTGCTCCGTGTCCCGAACCCAGCACCACGTCCCAAAGCCATCTCCAAATCCCGTATCTCCATGTCCCACACCCAGCTCCGTGTCCCAAACCCATCTCTGTGTCCCAAAGCCATTTCCATGTCCCACATCCCACTCTTTGTCTCAAACCCATCTCCACATCCCAGACCCAGCTCCGTGTCCCAAAGCCATCTCCAAATCCCATATCTCCATGTCCCACACCCAGCTCCACGTCCCAAACCCTGCTCTGTGTCCCAAACCCAACTCCATAACCCATTCCTCCATTTCCCAAAGCCCTTGTCCCTGAGTCCCAAAACCCCCTCCCCGTGTCCCACACCCAGCTCCATGTCCCAAACCCACCTCCATATCCCATATCTCTGTGTCCCAAAACCCCCTCCCCATGTCCCAAACCCAGCTTCATGTCCCAAACCCATCTCCGTGTTCCAAACCTAGCTCCATGTCCCATACCCAGCTCCATATCCCAAACCCAGCTCCATATCCCATAACTCCATGTCCCAAACCCAGCTCCATGTCCCAAACCCATCTCCGTGTCCCAAACCCACCTCCATGTCCCATACCCAGCTCCATATCCCATATCTCTGCATCCCACACCCCCCTCCCCCTGTCCTGTCCCCTGTCCCCGTGTCCAGCCCAGCCTGGGGACAGGGCTGTCCCCCAGCTCACCCAGTGGTTGGTGCAGGGTCCCTCGGTCTCGGCCAGGATTTGGCCATCCCCGGACACCAGCACCACCCTGGAGTGGGTGCCCCCGCTGCGGAGAGAGGGGGGGACACTGCCAGCACCCGCCCCCTGGCCCCTGTCCCCTGTCCCACCGAGCGGGGGTACCCAAGGGGTCACTCGGGGGGCCCTGAAATGGGGGGTTGCTGACCCCCACCCGGGGCAGGAGCCGCTCCTGGGGGGGGTCCATCCGAGCCCCCCTCCATGGCTGCCTCCCCCCGGTTTGGGGGTACCCGGGGCGGGGCGATGGCTTTGGGGGTGCGGAGGAGCCCCGGAGCCCCCGTCCATCGGTCCCCGTTCCCCCTGCTTTGGGGGTACCCGGGGCGGGGAGGAGCCCCCGGAGCCCCCCCGGCCGCGCCGCGCCCCTCACCCCTCCACGCCGCCGAACAGCGACGCCATCGCGGCCGCCACTGGCCCCGCCCCCCGCTCCCGGACACGCGCCCCGCTCCCGGACACGCCCCGGGGCGTGGCCACGCCCACTGACACGCCCATGACTATTTATGGGTATTGGCCACGCTCATATACACGCCCGTTCGCGTGGCCCCGCCCATAGCCCGCCCATCTCCATATATGGGCAAAGAGTAGCGTCATCAGTCAATGGCCACGCCTCCCGCTTTGGCTCCGCCCCCCGCCCGCTCCGGGTCCCTGTGGCCCCTCCCTGTCCCCGTCCGTCCCCTGCGGGGACCGCGCGATGGCACCGGGACCCCACCCGCGACATGGCCCTGCGCACGGGGCGCTGCTGCCCCACGGACACGCTCAGGACACGGCCCCGCGCGTGTGGGGCCGCGGAACGGCGCAAATCCCCCAAATCCCCCCAAAACCCACACGTGAGAAATCCCCCAAATCCCCCCAAAACCCACACGTGAGAAATCCCCCAAATCCCCCCAAAACCCACACGTGAGAAATCCCCCAAATCCCCCAGTGCCCATCCGCGGCACAACCCCAAGCAACCACAAGTGACAAATTCCCCCAAATCCCCCCTACCCACGTGTGATAAATCCCCCAAATCCCCCCAAAACCCGCCCGTGACAAATCCCCCAAATCCCCTCTGTACCCCAACTGTGAGAAATCCCCCAAATCCCCCCGTACCCATCCATGGCACAGTCCCACGCACCCACAAATGACAAATTCCCCCAAATCCCCCCAAAACCCACGCGTGACAAATCCCCCAAATCCCCTCTGTACCCCAACTGTGAGAAATCCCCCAAAACCCACACGTGAGAAATCCCCCAAATCCCCTCTTTACCCCAACTGTGAGAAATCCCCCAAATCCCCCCAAAACCCACAAGTGACAAAATCCCCCAAAACCCCCAAAAATGCACCTGTGAGAAATCCCCCAAATCCCCCGTTCCCTCCTGGCACAGAGCCGCACTCTGCCTCTCCTTCCTGGAATCCCCCAAAGCTAAGGGGGGTCCCCTGTCCCCTCTGTCCCCTCTGTCCCCTCTGTCCCCTCTGTCCCCAGTGTCCCCAGTGTCCCCTCCCCCGAGGGTCCCTCCGCAGCCGCTGCCGGTCCCCCCCTCCCCCGGGGTCCCCCCTCCCCCGGTCCCCCCTCCCCAGGCCAGCGGGGTCACAGCTGAGGCCCTGCAGGGCCCCGCGGGCTCAGCAGGGGACAGAGGTGACAGTGATGGCAGCGGTGACAGCGGTGGCAGAGGTGACAATGATGGCAGCAGTGACAGCCACGTGAGCTGGCTGTACCCACCCCAGGGACAGGGAGGGAGAGAGGGGAGGGGGGAGATGGAAAAGGGGTGAAGGGAAAGAGAGAGGGATGGATGATGGATGGATGGATGGATGGATGATGGATGGATGATGGATGGATGATGGATGGATGGATGGATGGATGGATGGATGGATGGATGGATGGATGGATGGATGATGGATGGATGGATGGATGATGGATGGATGGATGGATGATGGATGGATGATGGATGGATGGATGATGGATGGATGAGGGATGGATGGATGGATGGATGGATGATGGATGGATGAGGGATGGATGGATGATGGATGGATGGATGGATGGATGGATGGATGATGGATGATGGATGGATGATGGATGATGGATGGATGATGGATGGATGGATGGATGGATGGATGATGGATGGATGATGGATGGATGGATGATGGATGGATGGATGGATGGATGATGGATGGATGGATGGATGGATGGATGATGGATGATGGACGATGGATGGATGATGGATGATGGATGGATGGATGGATGGATGATGGATGGATGGATGGATGGATGGATGATGGATGGATGATGGATGGATGGATGATGGATGGATGGATGGATGGATGATGGATGGATGGATGATGGATGGATGATGGATGATGGATGGATGATGGATGGATGATGGATGGATGGATGGATGATGGACGATGGATGGATGGATGGATGGATGGATGGATGGATGGATGGATGGATGATGGATGGATGGATGGATGGATGGATGGATGATGGATGATGGATGGATGATGGATGATGGATGGATGATGGATGGATGATGGATGATGGATGATGGATGGATGATGGATGGATGATGGATGATGGATGGATGGATGATGGATGATGGATGGATGGATGGATGGATGGATGATGGATGGATGATGGATGGATGATGGATGATGGATGGATGGATGGATGGATGATGGATGGATGGATGGATGGAGGGATGGATGGATGATGGATGGATGGATGGATGGATGGATGGATGGATGGATGGATGGATGGATGGATGATGGATGGATGGATGGATGGATGGATGGATGGATGGATGGATGGATGATGGATGGATGGATGGATGGATGGATGGATGGATGGAGATGGATGGATGGATGGATGGATGGATGAGGGATGGATGGATGATGGATGGATGGATGATGGATGGATGAGATGATGGATGGATGGATGGATGGATGGATGGATGGATGGATGGATGGATGGATGGATGGATGGATGATGATGGATGGATGGATGGATGGATGATGGATGGATGGATGAGGATGGATGGATGATGGATGGATGGATGGATGGATGGATGGATGGATGGATGGATGGATGGATGGATGGATGGATGGATGATGGATGGATGATGGATGATGGATGGATGATGGATGGATGGATGGATGGATGGATGGATGGATGGATGATGGATGGATGATGGATGGATGATGGATGGATGGATGGATGGATGGATGATGGATGGATGATGGATGGATGGATGGATGGATGATGGATGGATGATGGATGGATGATGGATGGATGGATGGATGGATGGATGGATGGATGGATGGATGATGGATGGATGGATGGATGGATGGATGGATGGATGGATGGATGGATGATGGACGATGATGGATGGATGGATGATGGATGGATAGGATGGATGGATGGATGGATGGATGGATGGATGGATGGATGGATGGATGATGGACGATGGATGGATGGATGGATGATGGATGGATGGATGGATGGATGGATGGATGGATGGATGGATGGATGGATGGATGATGGACGATGGATGGATGGATGGATGATGGATGGATGATGGATGGATGATGGATGGATGATGGATGGATGGATGATGGATGGATGGATGGATGGATGATGATGGATGATGGATGGATGGATGGATGATGGATGGATGGATGGATGGATGGATGATGGATGGATGGATGATGGATGGATGGATGGATGGATGGATGATGGATGGATGGATGGATGGATGATGGATGGATGGATGGGATGGATGGATGGATGGATGATGGATGGATGGATGGATGGATGGATGGATGGATGGATGGATGGATGATGGATGGATGGATGATGGATGGATGGATGATGGATGGATGATGGATGGATGGATGGATGATGGATGGATGATGGATGGATGGATGGATGGATGGATGGAGGGATGGATGGATGATGGATGGATGGATGGATGGATGATGGATGGATGGATGGATGGAGGGATGGATGGATGATGGATGGATGGATGGATGGATGATGGATGGATGGATGGATGATGGATGGATGATGGATGATGGATGATGGATGGATGGATGGATGGATGGATGGATGGATGGATGATGGATGGATGGATGGATGATGGATGGATGGATGGATGGATGGATGATGGATGATGGATGATGGATGGATGGATGATGGATGATGATGGATGGATGATGGATGATGGATGGATGGATGATGGATGGATGATGGATGATGGATGATGGATGGATGGATGGATGGATGGATGGATGGAGGGATGGATGGATGATGGATGGATGGATGGATGGATGATGGATGGATGGATGGATGATGGATGGATGATGGATGATGGATGATGGATGGATGGATGGATGGAGGGATGGATGGATGATGGATGGATGGATGATGGATGGATGAGGGATGGATGGATGATGGATGGATGGATGGATGGAGGGATGGATGGATGATGGATGGATGGATGATGGATGGATGAGGGATGGATGGACAGGCAGGAGGAGGAGCAGGGACAACTGCAACCAGCTGGGGACAATGGCCCAGAAACCAGAGGAGGGCACAGGTGGCCCAGCATGGTCAGGAACCCTTTCCCACCCGGCAGCACCATCCGGGCCATCCCAAATCCCAAAGCCCACATCCCAAAGCCCACATCCCACACCTCGCACAGCCACATTGCCACTGTCAGGGGTTCTGTGGTCCTGGGATGCTGGGACGGGGACACAGTGGGGCAGCAGGGACAGGGACACAGTGGGGCAGTTGAGCCACAGCTGGGATGGGGACACAGCCGGGATGGGGACACAGCTGAGGTGGGGACACGGCCATCCCGGGACTGAGATCGTGTCGTGTCCCCCCCAGCCGTTCAGCAGGGTGTGGCGGAGTCTCCTTGCCGTGTGTCACCTCCTCCTGGGGGCTGTGCCCGCCCCAGGCATGCGGACCCTCGGGATTGTCCCCGTTTTCCAGGCGGACCCTCGGATTGTCCCCGTTTTCCAGGCTGGGGGTCCCGGGCTCCGCGGGAGGAGC